CTTGACAACCACAACATAAATGGTAAAACCTATATTATTATGGAGACATTAATTTGACAGTCAAATTTTGGCTGTATTGTAGGTCTGTAATTTGAAAATTTAAATAATCTTAAAATCAACGAGACTATTTCGTGATAATATCGTGTATCGTAACATTTCTAGAAAATATCGTGATACATTTTTTTTTCCATATCGCCCACCCCTACTTTCAACAGTGTAGAAGTCTGACCTGCATGCAGTCACATTAACAGACAGGCACACACGATTACAACCTACTGACATAGGACGTTATGTACAGTGGGCATGCCAATCATGACAGTCTAGGTCTCTGCGCATGTCTCTTGTGCATATTTGCGATGCTTTGCTCAGCTCAGTGAACAATCATGTTGTTTACAGCCCAAAAAAAGACTTCTCCTGGAACGGAGCACGTTCGTTGACTGTGCTGTAGTAAGAATTACATTATACATCACTAGATTTACTGTCTAACTCTTGCACATGACAAATATCTGCCCCGAGGGCCGTGGCTCTCTCAGTTACAGGTTTGAGTGAAGCCATGAGTGGCAGAAAGCCACCAGATTGATGAAGCCAGCAGTTTTCTATATCCCATATCTGAAAAGGGCTAATAACATAATGCATTCAGTAGCTCCTTGCCTCAACCCTTACACTAAATAAAGTTCTCACCCTAAAATTCAACGATTTAGATGTTGGAGACCAGCATCTGCCCCCACAATGTGTGTGTCTGTGTGTGTAAACAGGTTTCTGTCCATGCAATGTGAGTAATACACCCCCCACAGTGGGTTGACAGGCTTGGCTAGACTGGGTACAACAGCTTGTGGCGTCCAGGCCGGCACCTGCAGCGTCAACATGACTTCACTCACACCCACTGTGACCTGCTACAAACCCGGCTACAGCAAACAGATGTCCTTAGAGGAGTCTGATGCAGAGAACACAAACTCTTGCTTCTATAAAAGAGATAATTCACAAATAATCCCAGCACCCCACTCTCCAACTTGACACCTCAGGGAACAAGGTAAGAAGCCTTTCCAAATCCAGACGCCACATGAAGGAAAGAAAAGCTCACTCTCAAAGAGTTTCCACAACTGGTCTAAAGCTGGCAGATTTCAAAGTAAAATCAAAAGTCTAGCCAACAGTTTAAAGCCTGTTCCCTTTCCTCTGCCTTTTCATCCTTTGTCCCTTCATCCCTGTCTTTCAGTTTATCCATTAGGTTGAGGCGACCACCTGTCAGTCTCTTGTCCTTCATTCAGACTTGGCCGCTCCACTCTGCCGGCCTCCTGCTCACCTCGGCCAGACAGACCAGGGCTCAGCATGGTGGCATCCTGGCACACGCTAAGCAGACAGAGCTTTAATTCTGACAAACAGTTCCTACTTTATGTGCGTGTGTTTCAGAGGGCAGAAAGCCAGCGTGGTAATAAGATGTTGTTCTCTTGGTTTGTAAAGTCTGCTAAAACATAATGTCAGCCCAACGTCCTGTTTTAATACAGATTGAAAGACACATGTAAATACCAAATACAGTTCAATAAACTGTGTGAAGAGCAACAAAAGATGAATAGCCTAAAATTATGAGTTAGCAAATCCTTTGAATAATTTAGAGAGGAAAACCATCTGCTGCTTTCAGCTTCTCAAATGAGCGCATTTACCACTTTTCTCTGCTTTGTGTCTTAGTTGGACAAATGTCTACTCTCAATTGGATGAACACACTGAAACCACATTCACACCTCTAGTACACAAGTTCAAAAATAGTCCATAAATTTTCTCTCCCTGTTAGCCCTGCGATGGATTGGCGACCTGTCCAGGGTGTACCCCGCCTTCGCCCGATTGCCGGCCGGGATTGGCTCCGGTCCCCCCCGTGACCCCGTTCAGGGACTAAGCGGTAGAAAATGAATGAATGAATATTAAAACCCATGTTAATCTGTCTCTCCATCTGCTTAACTGGGAAAACAAACCAAAACAGATGACTGCATTCTCGCCCCATATTAAAAGAAAGAAAACCTGAATGGAAAGCATGAATGGAAGATTCAAGTAAAAAAAAAAAAGCCTCTAAAATCCTGACACATCACATTTGTGTTCATGTGTACACAATTCCTTGAATCACAGACAAGCCAACTGTTATTTCTGTCTGTAGCAGCATGCTGCGTATTAAGGGCTGACCAAGCACAAAAAACAACTTATTTTTAAAGTGCAAGGGGACGAGTTTCATCTCAGGGAGGTGACGTACTCCCTTTTAACACAGTCTGCGCGCACACACACACACACACACAGGAATACACAGCCGGTTACAACAGCTTGTGATGGCCAACACCCCGGAGAACAGAGGCAGGAGCGCACCACAGTTACCTGAAAATAGAGAAATTAACCCTATGCTCCAACAAATTAACACCTTGAGACAGGAGACATCCATCCACTCTGGTATCTACTGTATCTGACAAACAGCAGCAGCTCATGCTTGACTGACTTAAGTAAAGCTTTTACGTCTGGGTTTCATTTAGCTTCTTCTTCTAAAGGCTGGGAACAGGACAGCGTGGTGAGGTGTATTGTACAGGCGATTGGCTGATTCGGCTCATATGCGCATGTGGGAGGTTAAGACAATAGACCGGACAACTGGCGACAGTCGGTGAATGAGACGGTTAATGTGGAGGATACCGAACAGGACGGTGGCATCTACCCTGGCTCCTGCAGTTTCTCCACCCTGCTACCGGAATCCCCGCCCGGCGCTTCTCTTTGAAACAGGGTGTGACACAAATAAAACACGTCAAGACACAAAACTTCGTCACTTGCAAGTCAAACAAAAACAATAACTCAGACGCCCAGATAATTTTGAAATTTGCCATGTAACCGAATGAGGAAGGCGGTGTGACCCCCGTCCCAACTGTCGAGCCCCGGCCGTGCCTCTGTGTAGACCGTCTATTGTTCCGCCGCTGTCACAGTCGTTAAGATGCACCGCGGATTAGCTTTAGCCTCGGCCGGCTAACAGCGCAGCCGACCAGAGTTAGCGTTAGCGTTAGCCGCCTCAGCCACACAAAGCTAATAGGTAACACGGCACCTTCCTTCCACTCCATTTCCCAAAAGTCGGCGTCTTGTCTCCACCACAATACAAAGCAAACAAGACAAAGAGCTGGCCATAAACACAGTTTTTACATACCCAGAGCTCCGTTCCCCAACTCATTTCGGATTCCTCCTTCTGAGTTCTCCGGAATTGGACACAGTATTCCCTGATTAGACTCTCCTCAGCTGGCACTGGGACTCCGATCCTCCTGACTGAATGTCGGCCGACACACACACTCCTCCTCCCCCTTCTTCTAAACCAGCGGGACCGCCCAAACCAGAGGACCACAGGGGTCACCCTAGTGGTTTTACACCTTATGACCAAGAAATAAAAACATTTATGAAATATGGTGATTTTGTGGAAACACAAAAATATAAAAGACAAAATAAAAGCGGGCCTAGCAGATGAAAAAAAATGGAACAGTTATATTCAATGTAGAAAATAAATTATAATTTCTATGTGTTACTAATTTAAGCACGAATTGATTTTTTAAATTAAGATACAGTAGTGAAAGAAGCATTGTTTTCATAAGTAGCAATACTACAGTTTAATAATGGGTTGTTAAAGGTAAAAGTTCTGCAGTCAAAATGTTAAGCAAAAGTACAAAAGTTTTAGCATCCAAATATACTTAAAGCACCAAAAGTAAAAGGACTCATTATGCAGAATGGCACAATAATGTCCATTGTATAACTGGATTATAGCTTATTGATGTTTAAGGAGTCTTGGAATATTTTTGCCTATTTTGGCCGATTTTAATAGTTTTGATTTACCTTTATATACCACACGAAATTGTGTTTAATATGCCAGTGTTTGGTATAAATTTCTTCAGCACAAACTCATTTTTTGACCTGCCAGTCATTTGTACACTTTGATATACAACATCAACATGTGTGATCATTGACTCCTGATGGCTACTGTAGGCTGGCAGCTGGTAAAGATGGAACTAATGTATTACCTTAGGTACTTATAACTTGAATTACTCCTGGGCAGCTTGTGAATTCCCCAATAAAGTTTTATGATTATACTGCATTTAGTTTTATTAATCTAATTCTGGAAAGTAACTAAAGCTAAATGTAGTGCAGTAAAAAGTACAATAGTTGACCCTAAAATTTAGTGAAGTAGTAGAATATGAAATTATTCATGTAAAGTATGAACTGCCAACGTAGAGCCAGATTTTGTGGTAGACTATTTTTGTGGTGTTTCTGTTAAGACCTTAGGCTTCACTCTCTGCCTCCCAGTAATCACCTGGGAATCATTACTTTTCATCTTTTAAATTATCTGAGGTAATTGGTTTTGCTACCAAAAGTAGGGAATTATATGGTCTACTACCTCTGTGTGTCTGCACTGTTCATTCTGCTTTAACTGCTTTTCAATTCTCCAAGAAGGGGCAGAGAGGAAAACATTTCAATTTAGGCCTGTAACACATACAAAGATTTTATTTTACTTTTTCTTCTAATGTGAACATATTAATTTGAAACATCTAAGGCTGATTTAAATTGCCTACATACTGAACTGCACTGTAGCCATTCGTTAACTTATGAATAGGGGGTCCCTCTAGCGGCCAAGGTGCCTCAGCACATCCCTAGATAGATAGATAGATAGATAGATAGATAGATAGATAGATAGATAGATAGATACTAAAGCATAGACTTTGTAGGCCCTATGTAAAACTATAATAAGTAGGATATAATATAGTTAATAGCCACAATTGCCTAAATATATGTAATCTAGTAGAAACTAGCCTACAATTTTTTGCTCTGAATTACACTGGAGTATAGGGTACCATCAAATGGAAATATTCAAGTAAAGTACAAGTGCCTAAAAGTGGAGCATTTTTTGTCTTTGATTTTTTTCATACTGCTAATCTACAGTACACTCCACCTTCCACTCCTGTAGGTGGCGCTAGTGTATATTACTAATGACATGCGAACGGGAGGAAGAAGAATTTCCTTTGTGATGGCAAGCGAAACGATGTAGTTGCTCCTATCGGATCATTTTCAGCTACTACAAATTGTGTAATTAGTGGTATTACAGCAGACCCAGACAGACATGTACCGCTGCATGGCAAGGTAGGAAATGTTACATATTTTCTGCTTCATAAATGTATACAATTAATTATGTATTGACGCGCACTCTGATGCCTCAGCGACCTTTGGCACACATTTCTTCTGCATACATAACTAGACATTAAGCTTCAGCGATCTTCCATACTTTGCTACACAGTATTTCACTGTATGTACTTAAACGTAGTACAAGCGAAATGTATCTGTGCATTCTTGTCGTTGACAAGCTTAGAGCCCAACCAGTGGTGGAGGAAGTACTAAGTACTAAGATTCTTTACCTAAGCAAAAGTACTGATAGCACAACGTACAAGTAAAAGTAAAAGCCCTGAAAATGTCAAACTACTAAAAAAGGCATGTGACAATTTTCCGCAGGCCAAGTTTATGTCATAAATGACTTGTTTTGTCCAATCATTATCCAAGATCTTAAGTTTATTATCACATAATACAGTGTTTCCCATACTTTTAGGTTTGTATTTCTTAAAATAAGGTTGGGAATCACTCGTATAACACAAAGCAGCAAATCATCATAACTAGGAAACTGGAACTAGGGTATTTGTTATTTCTGCTTCAATATTAAGACTGAATAGATCTCCACTCTATCATCCACATTCAAACGTACAGATGGATTAAATCAGTAGAATTTATCTTTCACCAGTCAGAAAAAACACCATCAAATGAACATCTGTAATGTTCTCTGCCTATATGGGGATGTGAAAAGGTTTTATTACTCAGAGACTGCACTTGATTAACAGTTTTAGACTCACCTGTTTGTGTTCATAGTGTGTGTAGTGGAGGGAGAGTGTGTCCTTCCTTTGTGCCTGCGTACACCCAATCACCATCATGGACGCTGAGAAACAGAGCAGAGGAGAGACATCACAGGTAACTACATCACTGGAACTCCTGGAAAATAAACAAAAATTTAAACCACTTACAGCCCAATAGAACAAATCACAATTTTGCCTTGAGAGAATCTTTGATTTTTTATGATGTTATGAACGGGCTGTAAACATGCTTTTCCTGTATGAATCTCGTGTTGCAGGGTGGCTGAGCAGCAGCAGCAGCAGCGGCTGTGTTCAGTCCGCCTTATAAGCTCCGCAGCCAAGAAAAGGAGATCTCTGCGCAGTGCCTTCCCAGTGCTGGAGCAGCCCCTTCAGCCCATCCACCAGCACGTGTATGAAGCTAATCTCCGAAACAGCAACGCCTGCCGTAAGAAGTAGGCCCCACTCTCGACAGTCTGTAACATTCAACTGACTCCCCAAACTGCATTTATTAAAATAAATATATAAATGCATGCCATTTATTCTATCTGCGTCTCTCTGTAAGGTTTATAGAGTTGAGTGAGAAGGTGAGGAAAGGTGGAGGGGACAGCGCCATTGCCAGACACACCCAGAGAAACAAGAAGTTGCTGGTCAGGGATCGTCTGCGCCTCCTGTTGGATGATGAGGACTTTCTGGAGCTGTCACCATTAGCTGGTCTGGGTCTGCCGTATGGGGACATCCCTTCAGCCGGCTGCCTGACTGGTCAGAAGCCACTAAATGCAATTCTTTGTCTTTGGTACTAAGCGCAGACTGGTTTGACTACACTAACTGTCTCTAATTTACTGAGATGACTATAATTATTCCTTTCATTTCAGAGAGTTATGAATTTATTCCTTATATCTGTCCAGGTGTTGGCAGAATCAATGGCCTGTGGTGTGTGTTCATCGCCAATGATGCCACAGTGAAGGGTGGAACAGCGTATCCAATCACAGTGAAGAAACAACTACGAGCACAAGAAGTAGCCATTCAAAATCGCCTGCCTTGTGTTTACCTGGTTGACTCTGGAGGAGCTTTTCTACCACTGCAGGTTACCACACAAACACACACACCTCTGCCTCAATACATATGTAAAACAGCAGTCTCTAATTCCTTGTTTGTGTATAATTATCCAGTCAGAGATCTTTCCCGATAAGAACCATGGAGGAAGAGCATTTTATAATGAAGCCGTCATGTCTGCCATGAAGATCCCTCAGGTAGAGGACTATAAAGAAGAGCAGGAGGAATAAAATTAGGTTAGATTCAAGAACGTCACTCTTTCAGTTGCAACTGATATAAAATTGCCAACAATTAATGATCCTGAAGGTGTCTGTGGTGTGCGGGTCATGCACGGCGGGTGGAGCTTATGTTCCCACTATGGCGGAGGAGACAGTTATCGTGCACCGCATAGGCACAATATTCCTGGCCGGGCCACCACTTGTCAAGGCTGCCACAGGAGAGGAAGTGACACCAGAGGATCTGGGAGGAGCCAGGCTTCACGCTGAGTAAGTCCACAAATCAAAACAGCCCCAGACATGCAGTTATTAATAGACAATACGTTCACATCTTCATCTGACAATTTATTGTCTGGTTTCAGAGTAAGTGGCTGTGTTGACCATTTTGCCTGGGAGGAGAAGGAGGCATACAGTTACACCAGAAACATCATATCCACCCTGAACTTCCAACTGCCTGAGGAAGAGGAGGAGGAGGAGGAGGAGGAGGACAAGACAAGGAAGAGGAAAGCAGAAGAGGAGCCGCTGTATAGTTCAGAGGAGCTTCTGGGTTTGGCTTCACAGAGTTATAACCACAGTCTGGATGTTAAAATGGTAATCTAGCATAAATACATGAAGCTCTTTGTTCTGCAGACTGAGTACAGTAGTTAGTGTGAGTAGTACAGTAAATGCAGCCCCTCTATCTCAACAGCCAGCAAAAAAAAGAGGCATTACAAATTAAAGATGAGAAAGTAACAGCTCTCGATCAAGTGGTTTAATTGCAGGTGCAAAAACACTATAATGAATAGTAGCCAGCAGCAAAGACAAAACAGAACCTCTAGATCTTACCTTCAAATTTAGTGACAAATGATGATGTTTGTGGAAAAATCGGTTTCCCATCATGGCTGTCAAGTTACTGTGTAACTGATTTATGATTCAGTTGTAATAACATTCTGTTGGGTGTTTGTCTGTCTGTCCAGGTCATCAGTCGGCTGACAGATGGGAGCCGCTTCCAGGAATTTAAAGCTCGTTATGGAACCACACTCGTTAATGGCTTTGCAAAGATACATGGGTAAAAATATACAAACACACACAAGCTTGACTTTCTATAGTTTTGAGGACAATCTCTGATATTTGCATTAGCCCTAACCATTTCAACCTGATTCTAACCTTGAAAGCCTTCACTGTCAAAAAGCCCTCTGAAGTCGTGAGGTCTGACCAGAATCTTCTCAAAGCCATGGTCTGGAACAAAAATTTGTCCATGCAACTAAGAGATAAACATGTACTATACATACATCTATGTTGACTTGATGGAGGAAAAAAAAAACCACTCATGCTTAACGGAACTTGTCTTGTATTGTTTCCAGTGTGTGCATCTCGGATGGCTGGAAAACAGGATTATTACTGAGCTGATTATCACAGTTAAAACTGAACTGAATTGTTGTGAAGTACCTGCAAACAACACATGGCAGTCAGATAGACTCACAATATACACATATAGATACATGATGCACAAATTCCAAGGTCAGCTACAAGCTTAATGTGTCATTATATGGTGCAGGAAAGCATGGCGAATGATTTAAGCATGTGAGTAGTCTGAGTACGTGTGGTCCTGATCTGGTTTATGGTATGGTTTTTTCTGTTTATGTGCTGTGTTAGTCACCTGGTGGGAATCGTAGCCAACAATGGAGAGCTGTCACACCAGGCAGCGCTGAAAGGAAGCCATTTTGTCCAGTTATGCGACCAGAGAGGCATCCCACTCCTCTTCCTCCAGAACACAGCACCCGCAGCAGCTCAGACGCTGTCCACAACACAGGTACTCCCAGTGAAACAAGGCTGTGTTCATGCACACGGTAATATGGCAAGATAAGGTCGATCTAGTAAAACAGAAACACATGCCTTTTACTTTTAAAAATAAATCATAAAAAGAAACACCAGATCAAATAGTCCTGGATTTATATTTTTTATATTTATGTTTTTCCAAAACACTATTAATGAATCATCTTTTTGTGAGCATCTCCCTGAAACACAAACTCTTACTCGGTGTTATTCAGTATGACTCTTAAATAACAGCTATTTGATATCTGTATCCTGTGTCTGTGCCTCTTTCTCTCCCCTAGGCGGAGATGCACAGTAACCGTCTGAAGGCTCAGGGTTCAATGATGTCAGCAGTCGCGTGTGCCTCTGTCCCCAAAATCACTGTAGTGATTGGTGGTTGCCATGGTGCTGACAGCTATGCCATGGTGAGAGACTCCATATGTAAACTGCCATGTGCTCGTCCACGACTACTGTTTGAAATGACTTCTTCTAACTCTGGCCAGGTGGCGGGCACAGCTAATTTACAGGCTGTACTTTGACAACACAGGGTGGAGAGGCTGCAATAACAACAGAAGGGCTGTAGGCAGCAGTATCAGGGGTGGGGGGAGGTGTAGCTGAGAGACACCATGTCCTGTTGTTGCCAATGTGGTTTCTGTGTACCTTTGTCACATGCAACAAGAACAAATGCAAACAGTTAACCACTATAGAAATGTTACATATACATGCTTATTATTCTATCGTTTCATCGGTTACTCATGTAAGATTTAGGATCCAGGGTTAAATACAATCATTTGAACCTTGTTTCCTTCTCCAGTGTGGCCGGGCATTTGACCCTAATTTCCTGTTCCTGTGGCCCAATGCCAGAGTGTCGATGATGGCTCCGGGACACGCCGACTCTCTGCTCCCCCTGGACAGTGAGCAGGAGGAAGAGCAGAAGAAGAAGCAGGAGGATTACCTGAACCAGAGGTTAAAGGAGGAGAGCTCGGCTTTCTATGCCTCTGGACGGCTATGGGATGATGGAATCATTCTACCTCAGGACACCAGGAAGGTCAAATTGCACTTGTGTTTCAGCTGCCTGGAAGCATCTGACAGCTAATGCTTTACTGGAGTTCCAGAAAAATCATACATAAAAGCTTAACTATTGCCAATATGAGTTTATCATGACCTTTTATCCTTATGTCAGTTTTTTTTTTTTACATGAATCTGTATCTGTCTGCAGGTTATAAGAGACTGCCTGGACATCATCAAACAGCAGCAATATCAACTTTCCACTGAAAAACTGCAGTCGGCACTTCTACGTATATAGAAGCTTCCTGTCGTTCTCCTTCACAGTTTGACTGAGATCTACAAACATCTGTCACTCTGAAATTAAACTGCTGCTCAAGCCTGTTGGTCATCTTTAGCAATGTGTACCGAGGAGTTGCACCTACAAAATATCTCTGTTACATACCAAGAGAGAGTTTTTTTTATTTCGATTATATAACATTAATATATTTTAACTACACAGGATATAAAAATTTAGTTTTGCACAATTATTACAGTTTACAAAGATTACAAAGACCATTTCATTGCCAAACTTAATGATCCAAACACTGCTTTTAAAGCTGGTGGGGGTGTGGTATGGGCTCTGTAAAATAAAGCATTACCAGTTTTGGCCAGTTGGGGGCAGCACAGCAATCTGTATATACAGCACTGGCAGGTTACACTAAATCCTCAGGGCATTTTGTAGAAGATGATGAACATTATGACCTGAACACAGCTGTGTGCGTGTGTTTGACTCACGATCTGCTTTTATCTGGTCAAATATCAGGATGAAATCTAATGAAAACTTCTGCAGAAGTCACCTCTCTTTTAGTTCTCTTGTGTCTAAAACAGAAGATTAAAAAAAAATCTGCTCTCCAAAAGCAGCTCAGAGGAGCTTTTACAACTTTAATTTACAACTTTCAAAACAACCATACACAGCAAAAGTGAACCCCATGATTGTCTTGCCAGTCATGACTTCTCTCTGCACATGCACTGTTTTCTCCACCAGCTACGTGTTTCGTTCTCTTAATGCAACCTACTTGTGGAGAACAAAACTGAGCACAACCTTTGCCAGTATCACTAAAATGTTAAATAATTACAAATCCTGTCCATTCAATACATTTTATTTGCTTTTAGCCACAGCCTAAGAAGAATAAAGTCAGTGCATTTGGAAAACAATGAAAGGTTTATATCTAAAAATCAACTGCAGCAAAAGTCAGCAACCCTCCAGTAGTGAGATTTCATTCTTTTATTTTTTTAAATATTTGTATGTCCAGCTTTTTTTGTGACAGCTTCACAGTGTTGTCATAATTTCTTCATTTTGATGTCGTTGCGATAATTATTTCAATACCAATACCGGAACATGGTCTACTTTTCCGTGGCCCAACCTGTATATACAGTATTAAAACAATCTGGTTTTACTCTTGCTGTTCTGACAGACACCCCGTGAAGATGAAACCCATCAGGATTTTAACACACCTGACTAATTAAAGGATTTAACAACAGCTCCTCCTGTTTCTCTGCCTGTACATTGTACACTTTTGGCTTCCTCTGAAATCACGATATTTGATGTAAGTCATGTTCATCCCTCCTACTAATGTGTTACTGTGCATTTGTCAGAGAAATCTACACTTTGATAAGTTTAAAGTCATGGTCTTGATCAGAGACTGAAGAAGAAATACTGGATTGATTTCTAACTGAAAAGTGAAGATGACTGGTGTATCTTATGGTGTGTCTCAGTCAAGTTAGGATGAGGTTCAGGGTCTGTACATGCCATGCAGGGTCACAGGGATGATGACATTGACCTCTGCCCTGGCCAGCTCCGTCAATTTCATGGCATCTAGAACCAGCAGAAAGCCTGGTCTCTCTGCACCCGGCTCCACCACGATACTCAGCAGCACACCTGCAACACAGACACAAGGGAGATGTATATACTGCATGTGTGCTTCCACCACAGACATGCTTAGGATTAGGTAAAGTTAACTTAAAATGATTAGTTTGATTTAGGTTCACAGGTGCACTCCACAGGTTTAGAGCATGACTCACACAATGTGCCTGTTCTCAAATGAGATGACCTCTGTCATGAATGCTAGATTCAGGGTCAAAGTAACAAAACACAACCAAAAACAAAGCTGTGGTCTCATTTAAAAAAAATATCTAACTAGTTTGGAAACCTTTTTAGGGACAAATGTATTTAAAGCCACATAAGTGCAAAGTAAACCAAAATACTACAGGTCTTCATAACCAGACTGACTCAATTTAACTTCTTTAAAAGAGCGTCTCGATTAGTAATCAGTATAAAATCAGGTGCCACCTCAAAGGCTCTGTTTATCCTGTACATTTATCCAACACATAACCAGAATAACTTCCTATGATTTAACACACATAGCACAGGTTGAACCCGATTGCTTTAGGCCTCAGTTTTCCCAGCTCTGGCAGCATATTATTTTCATCTGTTACATTGTTAATGTGTGGCAACACTCAATGTATTTTTGGAAATATTCTTGAAAAAGAAATTTCCTATCATACTTGATGGTATTTAAAACTCAAGAATGTATCAAACCTGTTTCATTAGCTCCATATTTGCTCATTTTTTGTCTTCAAGGTTTGATTTTCCAACACTGTACTGCTGCTTGTGTGATGTTTTTTGGCAGCGGTCTTTAATTTTTGAGTTTCTCACCAGCTAAGTAGCTTCTGTGTCTCTTGGCTTAACATTTACACATAATGAAAGGCATGACTGCAGACCAGTGTGCTAAGATGTGAGAATGTTATCACATCCGTCTGACCATCATCCTCCTCTGTAGCTCCAGGTGTTGGTACAAACAACGGCTCTGAGGGGTAACACTCCTCCTCCTGCCACACCCAGGTCTCTTTGGTCTGCACGTTCAGCTTGACTATCTATAGCAAGTCAACAATAGACAACCAACTGTCTTAAACACAACAGCAACACTGAACAAAAAACTCTCACCTCCTTCTGTGAGTGATAAATGCACTCCTACCCTGTCAGGGATGAAGTGGTTGAGTCCGAGGCCGTAAGCAAATGAATACTTCTTCCCTCGGTACTGAGAGTAGTTAATCTGCGGAAACTCGAAGGCTGAGAGAGAGGAAGAGACAAACAGGTTGTAAGCCTCAGAAACAACATGTGAGTTGGTCCTTTTGTCGAAGCTGCTGATTCCTAAGTCAAAATAAACACCCATACTGATGTGAAACAAATCACTTGTCTGCTTTGACTTGCTATTATTTACACAAAGCACATGAAATACAATTGTACTGTGCTGTTGATCTGGCAAACATCTTGTCCTTTGCAACTATAAACGCAGTAGAGATTGAATATGTTTTGAATGAGCTAGAACAGCAGCGACCTCTTGTTAAAATGTATATAATCTCTGTGAATGTTGTACATTTCTGTACCCAAATAAAGCATTTAAAATATTTTTAAAGAATTTGTGTGTGTATGTTACCCTGTCTTGGTCCAGAAAAGAGGACTTCAGGTTCAAGCCAGACAGTACCATCACCATGTAGGACAGCAGTCGCTGTAGTGTAGGAAAGCGACACCAGGTTCTTCCCCAGTTCCTCCTGAAGACACACAAAAACATGAATGTATATTCTGAGGGGTGTTTAAAGCAAAGTGTGGTTTAAGTGAAAAATAAACTGCATCCAGGAAAGGTTGCTCCTTGTAGCCAATCAGCAGTCAGTGCTGGTCGGTCGTCTTTTATTACAATTGTTTTGTGATTCTTGATTAATAATTTAGTAGAAGAATAACAAAAAATATTGACATTTCTATCACATTTTTGTCACTACTTCAAAGCTGTATATAGTATGTACAACTCCTAGTAATATACAGTATTTAATTGATTTAATAACTGTGAGCTGTGGTTACTGAAAACAGAAAACAAGCACAGACACAAAAAGAAATCTAAGAAATGTAAAACAAGCACAGATACAAACTGGTCAGAACAAGACTCAGAGACCCCAAACACACATCCAAACACCTGAGTAATGACATTAATAACTTGCAGTGTGTGTCTGTTTATGTGCTTACCCTGTGCACATCCAGCGGCAGTACATATCGTCTGACTTCAGGCTGAGGAGCTCTGGTCGCTGCTTTCTTCAGCCCCTCCCACTCCTTCCTCAGATTGGCCAAATACAGGTAGTTATACACAAAGTCATGACTGGAGGGACAGAGAGGTTTGGATGAGTACACATGAAACACTCATACAGACTCACATGCAGGGTCACGCTCACCCCTTCCACGTGCAGAGGTCGACGATGATGAAGCCCTCATCTTCATAGGTGTTAATGTGGTGGAAGAGGTTGAAAGCAGATGTTCTGAACTTGTGGCTGCTCATATAAACTGCTGGGTCTTTAGTGGCCAGGTGGAACAATGTCTACAACACACACACATACTGTATATGAAATGTGCAGACAAGTCACATGATGTAACTGATCAAACACACGTGTTCCTTCCCAAGGGGGCGGATTCAGAAACCTTTAAATGGGGGGACCAGATTCACATAAGGGGACGCATTTGGTCCTTGGCAGTAATAAAGTCTACATCATTTATAGCTAAGTTGTTTATTCAGTGTAATAAATTAATACTCCAAATACATTACTTTTAAATGTTCTAAAAAGAAATTATTTTAATAAGGAACTGCTATTTGTAACCCTATAAAGTGTACAGCCATGGACAGATTAGAATGGGTCCTTAGACACAAACAATATAAAACAGGATTTTTGTGGCTGTTTTGTGTCTCTTGGTTGTAGTTCTGCATCTCTTTGTAGGCTTCTTGAATATGTATGTGGCCATTTTCCGCCTCTCTGTATCTATTTTGTGTTTCTGTAATGCCTGGTTGTGGTAAATGGCCTTGCCCCTGCCTACCCCCATGCTGTCACTGGATTCAAAGCAGTCCATGTATGCAGCTCCTCTGATATTCCACGCTGCCAAGAACTTGAGCAGGTTGATCTTCACCGGCTGCTCCACAAACACAAAATAGTCGTCTGTCATACCAAAACTACAGACAGACAAGCAAAGAGACAGATGAATAAACCTAAAAGAAGAACACACTTTGTATTGGTGGTAAACCATCACAGAAACTAAGGGTTGACTCTTTGGCTGGCTTGATGAGACTAAAAGTATCTCATTTGGTACCTGTGTACGTAGGAGGGCTTTAACCTTTCACTGCTGGGCAGTTGAACCACAACCTGTGATTTCTCTATGGGATCTAATTCGTCTGGAAACACACAACAAAGTCAGTGAAACACTGGTGTTACCACTGGTGTGTGTGTGTGTGTGTGTGTGTGTGTGTGTGTGTGTGTGTGTGTGAACACATGAACTGTAAATAGTATAAACACTGGTGTTACCACTGGTGTGTGTGTGTGTGTGTGTGTGTGTGTGTGTGTGTGTGTGTGTGTGTGTGAACAGGTGAACTGGAAATAGTATAAAGAGCTTTGAGTGCGCTTCAATTTGTAGAAAGGCGCTATAGAAGTATAAGACTATTTATGATTCTGTCTGTAATTCTCTGTGTGCTCTACTCTTTCCATCAATTAAAAATTAAAAGCAACAATGAAAAAAAACTGTTAAATATGATTCTCTGGTATTCAGCGCAGATAGTGTGACCAAACTCACCTTTCTGAGCAGGCGGGATTTTGACGATGTTATAAGCCAGACTCATGTTCTTGCCAAAACAGTTACCGATGTTATAGATGGTACCATCTGTGTCGGTGTGGGGGTGGGCAGTCACCCCATTCACTGAGAGGTACTTACATAGGTCCACCTGATGTAAATCAGTACACACAGAGAACAGAGAAGAAAAAAACTTCTAGTCTCTAGTCTGAAATGGTATTAATTTACTCAAGTTAAAAAAAGTTACACCATTTCCCAGGTTTAAGGTTAGAATTTATAAGTTTTACAGAAAAAAACCCAAACAACCCATCCAACAGAACAAGACCTCAGCATGAAGGAGATAACAAACAAAGAGTGTGTGAGTGAATCTTCCTGTTCATAGAATTCTGTCTGCAAGTCCAACAGATCAAACATGATGTCAACAAATCAGCTCCCACCTTTTTTAACGTCTCCAGAGAATTAGGATCGACCTTAGTGATATAGTTGGTCTCTGTGACAGCGTAGAAGTCTTCACCGATTGGGTAGACGTTTACTAAACAGTTATCAGTCACTTCAATGCCTCTGAAGTAAGTGAAAAATCTAAACAGACACAAGGAGGAAAACCAGTTGTTAGTTGGCTGTGTGTTTCCTTCAAACCTTTTCCTGAGTTATGGAGCATAATAATAATATAATGTACTACTGTGGGGCATTGGATATTATACATAATAATATCAACATAGCAACATAGGCAGCCTATAAACATCATCATGTTTTATTAGCACAACTGCAGACAGCCAGGACATACGTAACCCCAGTGCTTCCAGTCTTCATATTAAGTAATGTTAACCATCTCTTGTCCCAACAAATAAGCACATTTCTCCAAGTTTCAACTACTATATTCTTTTAACACATGAATATGTGCATTAAGCACAGCACCAACAATATTTGATGAATAAAACCGATTTCGTTACTTCTGAGCCTAATGAAGGATCTGAGGTTACCTGGAGAAGATGTTTTTGCAGGGGTCTGGGTAAGCTGCTGTGCCAAACTCAGTGATGACCACTCTGTTCTCTGTCATGGCACGGACATATGAATCTGTCCTGATAAACCTGAGCACAAAAGTCACATATGTCATGTGCCACATAGCTATAAGCCACATGAAACATCTCTTATACCCACAGTCATTTTATTTTAAAGGCTGTTCTGGCAGAATGTAATTGAAATCTGTGAACCACAACAATTCTACTCAGTAAAAAATACTTGGCTGCAAGAGGAATTCAACAAAGTCTCTCTGTGGTTTGTGTGGACACAAAAAACAGAATACAGTTATTACCTCAACCAAAAAAATAACACCACACAATGAAACAATGGGTTTTTATTAAACTGTGCGCTGATTTTGGAAAGTAATGAGTACCATTCTTACTTTCTGTAATAAGTCACCTGACCATTCTTCAGGTCAAACTTGTGCATGAGAGCCTGTCCATCAAACAGGTGGTGGAAAGGTTCATCTCCCACCTCAAAAAGACCTGGTCCCATCCTAAGAAGACTGCCACCCAGCCATGATGGTATTACACCTGCACAAACGCACACATGCACATTCCTATATTACTAACACAGGACTACAACAATACCCCTCCCCCCAACAAAAAACAACTTTGAACGGCCTGCTCTGTTTCCTACCTGTGATGGCAGCAGGTATGGGTTCATTCAGTTCCTCCACTGTCTCAAAGATCTTTTTATAGCCTGCAGCAGGATGCTCCACACTGGAGAGGAAAATAAAACGCAAGAAAACCTGACTCTTATTTTGACAGCAACCTTGAATCACTACATACATTAAGTGCTGGCTTCTCATTTGGTTCAGCACAGTTATTTAACCAAAGTCTTTTTCCTAATTGCAGACGTAGTCTTGTCAAGGTTTTGTTTGGTATTTCACGGCTGTATCTGCTGCAGTTTTTTTTTTTACCCATTTAATGTAAAAAAGATCTGGTGGAAAACTTTACAAAAAGTCTATAAAGTCGACTCATCAAATCTTTTGTCTCTTACGGCAAAGCGACAAAGTCACTGAGTGGAATCTACAAGCAGTGTCCCCTTTTTCTAATTACTGAGAAACGATAAATGGTAAATAAACTTAAAGGTATGTTTCTGTCCTCAAACATGCAAAATCATTTGAGAAAAGACAGGGAAAGGTTTACTCACTGGCTGACCATGCCACTGAATGCTCTGCACACACAGGCTGCTTGTCAGAGTCTCTGGGCTATATTTACACCAAACACATTTCCTGCAGCGAGCGGTGGAAACCATGCCCCCTCCTCCATCTTTTCTTTATTCTCCCATCCAAAACTTTCTCTCATTTTGCCCTCCCCTTTTCCATCCTTCCTCATTTCCCCCAATCCCCCTCTTTTGCTCTGCATCTCTCTCCTCCTTTCATGGCTTTTGCTTCATCGCTCCCTCTTTTCTTCCCCTTCTACACTTCCTTCTCTTCATGTTCTTGTATTAACCAGAGATGAACAAGCCGGCTTTGTCTCCTCTCCTTTCAGTCGTCAGGCCTTTGGATTAATGTGGAAAGTTCTTTAAGCCCTGAAACAAGCTCTCTGTCACCCTGGGAACACAAAAACTCCACCGGTGCAGCTCAAACTAATAAAGCCAGCCTTTAAAAGAAGTGTTGATATGTATGTAGAGATAATTAGTTCTGGAGGATGAAATGAATGATTAACAATGCATCTTTATTTCTGTTACTTTGATAAATTAGAACTGTATGGAGGATGATAAGGTCAGGTTCAAAGAACGGTTGCTGTAATGAAGGGTAATACTGACAGTACAACCTGTCATCTAGTATGTTCAACAGCATGAACTACCTGCTGATGATTTTGCTACTTTGGCCACCAAAAATGCAAAGGAATAGAATTTAAGTCTGTCTACTGTCGCTGGAGTGTGATACCGACTAAATTAATTCAGACAAACCATCCCAATTTAAAGGATCATTTAATATTACAATTATTCTGAATAAAGTAGTATTTAAACACATAATCTCGTATTTAGGGAACAGAGAACAGAGACTCTCCTCCTGCAATGTGATAGATAAAGCATTAAATAAGAAGATTGTCAGAGCGCCAGTCAGTCAAGTCATTTGATGTCGGTCCCGAGTCGGTTCTCCTGTCAACCCCCAGTCAACCCCCAGTCAGTCGTCGTTTCCCCCCGGCCCTCTGAGGCCGGGTTTGTGGTACACTGTTCACGGTAGCATGGTCATCCTCTCTTCCCTAACCCTTCAGGCCCACTCTTTTATCTGCAGCTTTCCTTAGGCTGTTACATCAATTTCTGAACTTAGCTTCCTGTCTCCAGTTTTGGGAGACAGCACCCTGAGATGTACTTCAAAAACAGGAAACATCTTGACCAACTTACATAAGCTCATTATTCAGCTCTCATGAACTTCTAGGTGCACATGAACAGTTCACATAAGGCTACAGCTACGATATATCCATTTCCTATCTGAGGATGAAGTCACTCAGGATGTTGACCCATAGGCTAAACAAGGGGGACACAGCACCTTGAGCAAGAGAAGAGAAACAGATCAAGCTTGCACTTAGCTCAGCCTTACATCCTTACACAGCTATTACAAATAATATCCATATATTATTTATATAGAACTACATACTGTTCTATTACATATTACCTCTGGAACCTTGTTTATTATTAACCACTACACTACAATGGAAGAAGTACTCAAATTGTTTATTAAAGTAAAAGTAACAATACCACAGTGTAAACATATTCTGTGACAAAAGTCCTGCTTTCAAAGTTACTTAAGTAGAAGTACACAACTACTGACATTAAAATATACTTAAAGTAAAAGCAGTCAATATGCAGAATAGCACATTTCACATTAATGCATATTAAATATTGGCTTATAACTATGCATTATTGTGTATTTGTAAAACCTGAGCTCATTTTAGCTACACTTACATGTTTATGGCCTGAAGTACTGTTAGGTATTTATTGATCCCTGGTGGGGAATTCACTAAAGTGTGAAAATTATATTGTATTTTAATCTGATTCTGAAAAATAGCTAGTAACTAAAGTTACCAAATAAATGTAGTGGAGTAAAAAGTACAATATTTGTTTCTAAAATGTAGCAAAGTCAAAGTAGGAGAAAATGAAAATACTCAAGTAAAGAGTACAGATTCCTCAAAATGATACTTAAGTACAGTACTTGAGTAAATGTAGTTACTAGTCAGATCAGCATATTGTCTTTATGAGCACGCTGGCCTTGTCTCATTAATATTTTGCTCCACACGCTGGAGTAAAGTTTCATGAGTCACTAACATGAATGGGAGTTCATAAAACAATCCAGCCATTAATTACTTGGTAAATGAAGTAGACAAGTTGGCTCCAGTACTCGACAAAATGACCAAGATGGTCAGAGATCCTCAGGGAAGCACACATGGGCTATGTTGCGTTTTGGACCTGGCATACTAAATAACATACAGTATAGCAAATAACTGTAAACAGAAATAGGACAAAGCCATATGTAAAAAGACCAGCTGAACAAGTTTATTTCCCAGGACTTTGCATAGTACGCTATGTATAGAAAAGAGTGTAACTGTAGGTGTACAACATCCAATTCTCTGTAAGTCTTTGCCAAAAACACAACTGATGAGATGAGGTATAAGCAAACATATCAGGACAGAAGGAATACTTCATACAACCTAAGATAAATAAAAAAGAAAAAAAAAAAAAGAAAAAAGCTTGACATCAAGTTTGGTTAATTTCCTTAGACCTCGACATAATATGGCTTCTGTACTGCACTTCAGCTTACAGTACCAAAAACTCATTACCATCCATCACTGAAGTTAATGGATGCCACTAGACTTCAGCTACATCCATGCACTTAAATGTGACAGATGTCATGGAAAAAAAAAAAATGTTACCAAACTTTAAGGAAAAGCTGCAGCAAAATATCTGATGTGTCTGATGAAACCTTCTTTATGGAGTCCAACATGCATTAAATATATATAAGTTAACCATTGGGATGATTGACATTTGCTGGCCATTCATAATGGCTAAACCCAGTGCAAAATACTTTTGTGTCCAAAAAAGTAAGCAGGGATGTAAGATGAGACACACAAATGAGAAATACAAAAGTGGGGTGAGATAATCTCCCAGATCACACCGAATATAAATGAAATGTACAAAAAAAATAAGAAAAGACTGCCGTGCTAAAAAAAACAAAACAAACAAAAAGTTTGACAAAGGAAAGGTTTGACATCAGACTTCTAAAAGACTCAAGAGCAATTTAAATAAAGCCTGCAATCTGAAATGATTAGTAAACTAAAACATTTCACAGGACAAGACACAATTAAGGCAAAGATACATAGCACTGCTCCCAACATGATCAATCAGATATAAATTAATCTAAAATCTAATTATTCCCATATGTATATTTTCTCCCAAAAAGCACTCTGAAGCTTTACACACATGCACACACATAGTCTGTGGGCTTTCTTTGCCAGAATGCATTCTCTAGTCCATTATCCCAAACCCTAAAACCAAGTCTTAACTTTCAAACAGCCCTTTGACTCTGTGTCAGAAAGTAGGAACTGGTCAAAATGTCGTCACTCCCATGGTATAAAACTCAAACTGGTCCTTACACTCTATAGCCATACAAGTAAACACACACAAGTATCAGCTAGCAATAGAGAGGGAAGGAGGGGTGAGAGGGAAACGGGTAACGAGATCCAAACAAACACAGAAGCCGACAAAACTAAACTAACATGTTAGCAAAAACAAAACCCTTCATCATAAAAGCGTTCAAACTGAACTGCTCTAAGAAACTACCGTCTGTCCACCCAACTTCTTCCTACTCAGCTGCTGGCACACACACCAAACACACAACATGAATATACACATTGTAGAAGCATGCCAGCCTGCATTAGCACACAGATGAGACACAACAGGAATAACGGTGCTTCCTATGCAACAAGAAAAAGTTAACGGCTGAGGTTTTCCCAGTGTCGTCAGTGCAGCTACAGTGAAACAAGGACAACAAACTGCCGCTTCTGTCATGGCAACAGTTCAGTTCCTGATGCTGAAATGTCTGGTCTTCTTGATGTTGAGGAGGGGGGGTTTAATCTTTGGCTTGTTGTTGGTCTGATCCTCTCCCCCTGAGGACGGGAACCGTCGACGGTAGATCTCTGGGTACTGCTTCTGAAACTAAAGCAGACACAAACTCCTGACTGAGTGACTTCATCTGACATGAAGTCTGGACAGAATTTAAATTCTGCTTAAGTCCCCCGTCCGTGTCTACACAGGACATGTCCAGGCACAGTGTTGACTGGAGAGCATCCACAGAATCCAATACACAATCAACCTGCTATGCACTTTGTGTAGACAGTTGTATGATTATGACAGACAACTAGACATGTGCCAGATGCCTCCAGAGGAATAAGTCTTAATTTGCAAACACAAATGTCAGCAAAACGCTACTAATGTGATCATTTAGAAACTTTAACAAGCTGAAATTCTAATGTAAATGTTGCTTATATGTACACTGGTTAAAACAGAACCTGGAATAACTGGAGTTGTTAGTTCAGAGTGGAGCAGCAGGACTTAACTGTAATGGTGTGAAACTGCTATACACAAACCGGTGCATGGAGCAAATACAGTATAAACTTATTTGGTCTTCAGGTCAACAAATCCAGCATCAACACCCCTGTGGAAAGTAAGATACTGACGCTGTCTAGCTAAATGTTATGCACTAAAGCTTGGCTGATAACTCAGAGAGGCTGACAAGTTGATATTAGCTGATATACTGGTTCAGCATACAAGTTGGCAGATAAGTAACAAGAAATGTAAAAACACTTATGACAAGTTTACTAAGTACATATTATAACTTGGTTACAAATCTTCAATAATCAAATTTGAGGGATCTAAAGTGTTCACATTATGTGTTCATGCTAAAAAATATAGGCCAACAAATCACTCTCCAATTATGAAAACACAGATTATTGGCATGTGCTTTAAAAGAAATCCAGTACTGGTATGGCTCTATAACATGCTGCTCCAGCTATTTCCTTGTTATGTTAAAACACTAATGTCTGAGTGAGCATTACAGTGTTTACCTGTTTCAGTTTCTTGCGCCTGTCCTTCTCACTTAAGTTTTGGTCTGTCAGCAGGATCTCCAGTAACTCCTCCATGGCTTTCTGAGAAGACGCCAGCTTTTGTTGTTCAAACTCGGCACTGCTAATTTGATGGCAGAACGCATAGATTGGCAATGGAACACAAGCTGGATCACAGGTGTCAGAAACACCGTCGACAGGGACCTGGGGTCAGGAGAGTAAAAAACATCATGTCGGTGTCTGTAGGTCTGTGCTGAGAGATATTCAGTGCAGACAAAGCAAAGTTCCACTTTGGCGACCAATTCTGCTTATTCACCTATTCCAGATTTTCCACTGGTGACATTTTCCTTTTATCTGCGATAAGAATTAAAACTTGCATGGTAATCTAGACAGGTTGCACAGGTGTCATTATTTCCCTCTCAGCTTTATAAAACCTTCTTAAAATGATTTATCTACACTGTCATTAAGCTAAAACAAGGATCTGTTTCAAGGATATTCAGCTTTCATCAGAAGGCAAGTCAAGAATCTATGATAACCTGCACCAATCAGAGGTGAGACTGGAGGCGATTTGTCTGTAATGATAAGTCATTTCATAGTCAATGAAGCACAAATCTATGAAAATAGGATGAAAATACACCATATATTGATGCAACATCCCAAAAAGTGAGGAAAAAAAGAAAGGATTACTCATTTTCTTTTAAATGTTTTGCGCATTATTGTTTGGATTGTCTGGTTCCCTCTGGTTCCCATCATTACCATCAAATGTACTGTGTTGTTGTAGGAGTTCTCAACCATATCGGGCCTTTTGTATGTATTGACTTGCCTTTGCTGTGTTTGTAGAAATATAAACATATTAAGTTGAAGTCAGAAGTTTACGTGCACTTAGGTTGAAGACATTAAAACTGCTTTTCTAACCACTCCACAGATGTCACCTGGGGCACTTCACAGAACAGATAGCATCATGAGGAAGGACGATTGTGTGGATATATTGAAGCAACATCTCTTGAAGCATCAACTTAAAGGCAATGCTACTAAATATTAACCAAGTGTATGTAAACTTCTGACTGTGAACGTGATGAAAGAAATAAAAGCTGAAATAAATCTTTTTCTCCATTATTACTCCGACATTTCACATTCTTAAAGTAGTGATCCTAACTGACCTAAGACAGGAAATGTTTACAGGATTAAATGTCAGGTGGTGGGAAAAACTGAGTTTAAAGACATTTGGCTGAGGTTTATGTAAGCGAATGACTTCAACTTTATAGTGTGCATGAGGTATCTGTGCACATGGTTTTTGTTTGCCCATATGCACCCAGGATGCATACACTGTAACAGTATAATGGTGTACCTGTGCTGTGCGCAGGTACTGTATGCGGTCAGTGATGGCACTGAGCAGGTAGCCTGGGACTGACAGGATGCTTTGTTGATGGTCCATTAGAAATGACACCAGCCTGGTAGCTAACAGCTCGTCCAAATCACACTCCTCAGCGCTGCCCAGGACACAGCTGGAGAATGTGTGGACCATCTGAAACAAGAATCACAGAACAGTCAACAGGCACCAATACACATAAATGAACAAATGCAAAGAAATAAAACTGTGTGATTATAAAAAATAAAACTGTGCGTAAAGCAGCTGAATACAACAGGATGTCTCTGATCCCCAGGAAGCAAAATTATTCCTACATGGGAACAAATATGCACATCATCTGTTAGTTCTAGAGGAGTTTCTCACAAGTGTTCGGGTGCCGATGGCAGGGTGGAGGCGAGGCATGTCCACGTTCTGACTGATGCGTGACATCATCCTCATGAGGAGCTGCAACTTCCTGCGGGAGGCGGGGGGGAGGAGGAGGGTGCAGAGCTGCAGGGCCTCGATTGCTACACGCTCACACTGAGGCTGAAGAAGGCCTATAAACATATACAGAGTAACGATCACAGAGCCAGGTGAAATGTGTACTGCAGTCAGCAGAGGACCTAGCAGCAGTAGAATCTCTCTTCATGACCACATTTATCCATCACTGCTGCATCACATTCACTAGATTAGACACATGATGGATGAATGACAAGATTAAACAAAGCTAGTGGTGCATGATGGATTGGGTGATGTTTATGTGTGGTACTATGCTATTAAAAGCATCTATATCCCAGTTCCCTGCATGGATATCTCCTGAAACTTGAACATTTCAGTAACAGATCCACTCACTTGTCAGATGATAGAAAACCTTGCTGGTGACCTACAAAAGCAAACGTTCTTTCTTTCTAACAGAAAACAGTGCTGCTCCTGGCAGATGGGAGGTACACTGCAGAGATGCTAATGATTAAAATGTGATCTTATCTTTAAATTGTGGCACAGTACACAGTGGTAGATCAGGACTACCTGGTTTGTTACATTTATTTGCAGCACTACACTAAGAGCTCGTGGTCAGAGGCTGTTTTCAGCTTGTTAAACGATAGAGTATCTGTGCTGAATCAAATATAAGAAAACATGCCAAACACAGGTAACATGTAATGTGCTGCATGGTTTAAACCATCTAACAAACTGCACCTAAGCTCTGTGCTCTTCTTTCATTCTTTTTGTCATCATGTTTGCTGTAATCTTGAGAATATTAAATAACACAGTCCACCAAAAAAGGAATGTTCTTAAACTGACATCTCAACTTCACCCACTGACTTCAACAGCAGATGTATTTCTAAGTGAAGACTCATTTAAAACCTCACATACTAGCAGTGGTTAGATGTTAGATGTGATTAGTTTGATTAAACACTGACAGACAAGCAGAAACACAGACAGGTAGAGGGGAGATCATCTTACTGTGCTCAGGTTTGGTTTGGGGAGGGTGGGAGGTACTGGTGGACACACACACAGGCGCTTTGAACAGTGAAACAGGTCGAGGCAACTCGGGCACATCCAGAGAGCTGAGGCAGCGCCGGACAACAGCAGGTGCAGGAAGCATCCAAAGATTAGAGGTACTGGAGGCGGGTCTGGGTCCTAGAGCAGCATGAGACCCTTGTACTTTTGCCATAGCAGATGAAGAGAAAGAAAAAGAATGATAGGAAGAAGAGAAGGGATGACAGGAAGTCAACAAGGGAGGATGTGAAGCAGAGGAAGAGGGATGCTGGTCTGCAAGAGTGTTCATGTTGAGGCAGCTGGCTGCTCGGCCCCACCGTATGGAGTCGTTGACATCTTCATCCCTGGTTTCTAGGACAATGTCCAGACAGCTGCCTATGCTGCGTGGCTGCAAAGGACGTGACCTCTGTGAGCCTGACAGTCCAGTCATAGAAACTACAGACAGTCTGTTTCTAATTGTACCTCCTGGAGCTACTGGTAACTGGTCACTAACTGGGGCTGCTTTGGACAGAGGTGCAAAGTCTGAACTACTGTGTGGTATTGTTATAGCAGGACTGTCATCCTGGCTCCTCTTGCCATAGGTGCAGGATGCCAGACTGTCACTGGACAGAAACAGCTGTTGTCGGGTGAGAGGGGCAGAGTCGTCGAGGATGGTTTCGAGTGAACAGCTCCTGGTTTGACGTTTTGTGGAAACTGTGCTGAGGTGCAGGCAGCTGCCGCCTAGCTGGCCTTCACCTGCACCGCCTCCTTCAACTGCTGCCAGCCTTGACTGAAGCTTACCACCAAGCACCTCTGTCATTGGTGACTCCGTCTCATCACACATCCCCTGTCGGAGCAGTGACAGGAGGAGACACTCTGTGGAGCAGAAGGATGTCTTGGCTGGCAGGGGGGCTGAGGGGGGGTCAGGCTTCTTGCATTTCTCAGGTTGGCGTGTAGCGGGTGCAGCAACGTATCCACAAAACACTGAGAGCAGACGCAGAAACACAGAGGTGGAGAGGGGCAGGTGGTGGAAGCAAAGTGTCAGTGCAAGTAGACAGTAGAAGGAGGGGGAGAGGGTTAAGTTAGTTCAAACCTTTACTGGACATACAGATCCATCAGCTGGTCAGACAAGACATAAGGGGCATACAACAGCACAGAGAGAACAGCTGCTCATATCACTGTTAGGACTCCACAATCAGAAGTGACAACAAGGAGTCAAAAGGCACTGTTAGACGTCAAAGCAAACAACCACAGAGTAGAAATATGCCTGAACAACAAGATCCTGAAACATTGTTAATATTTGAGCAGTTTCCTTGTAGCACAGCACCAACAACAAAACATTTAGCTGTTTTTTTTTCCCCCAATGGCCAAGAGTAACTGGAAGTAGTCCACCTACCCAGGACATTGATAAACAGTTCATACAGTTCATATGTGAGTAACGGCTGCGGAAGGCTGTAGAAGTAATCAGACACTGTTTTGAAGACATCTCTCTCAAAGCCAGGATAGGATGGCTGTGCACTGTCATACTTTGGCCCTGGAAACAAAACAGCAGGTTAATGTTTGAGTCTCAGGAGTGAAGGATGTCTGAAAACTTTGACTTTGCTCAAGAAACCAACACAGACTACACTGCAAACCAATAAGATTGCTAAAAATATGCAGTAAATAAAGTAATTCGTTGTTGCTATTCATGTCAAGCTTTGGAAAGTCAAAATGTAAGTTTAGGTATAGGAAAATTATGCATTACTCAATTAAAAACACAAATGAAACATAATTCATGTTTTCCCCTTGTTGCTCAAATCCTAGCAATGTTAACGTAGGACAGAGGCGACTAAGCAGCTCGCTGCTACTCACAGTTGGCCAAGCTCTTCATGGCAGACAAAACCCAGTGTGGAAGGTCATCTGGAGAGATCACATGTTAGACTGGTTACTAGTTGCTGTCTGTAATGCCTGTCGTTTGTATTACCTAACAAACAGTGCTAATAATTTAAGTCACATGGTCAATGCTCATTACAGTTCTTTTATAATGCACAGTACAGTCTTATGCAAAAGTTTAGACACCCCTTGATAAATAACAGATTTTGGTGATTTTTTATTTGAACAGATGTTAACACAGTTTCTCTTGGAAATGGAAAAAATGCACAATATTTTCTGCAAACAGTGATGCATAGTTACTTCTTATGCCATAAATTGAACAAAAATAAAAAATAAAAACATTATTATGGCATGGTGCAAAAGTTTGGGCACCCTAAGAGTTCCAGAGTCTCAAAGTCTCTCACAAGGTATCAGACCTTAATCAGCTCGTTAGATCTGATGCACAGCAACAGCTGTCATTGGTAAATGCCAATTTCAAAGCTGTACAAATACTTTGACTCTTCAAACCTTGTGCACACACTTGTGGACACCCAGCAACCATGGGTTCCTCTAAGCAGCTGTGTAAGACCCTGAAAATGAAAGTTATTGACGCCCACAATGCAGGAGAAGGCTACAAGAAGATAGCAAAGCGTTGTCAGCTTGCAGTTTCCACAGTAAGAAATGTAAATAAGAGATGGCAGATCAGGGGAACTGTGGAGGTCAAGATGAGATCTGGAAGACCAAGAAAACTCTCGGACAGAACTGCTCGTATGCTGGTCAGAAAGACAAATCAAAACCCCCATTTGACTGCAAAAAACCTGCAGGAAGATTTAGCAGACTCAGGAGTGGTGGTGCACCGTTCCACTGTGCAGCGATGCTTGCACAGACAAGGCCTTCATGGAAGAGTCAGCAGAAGAAAACCTTATCTGCGTCCCCATCATAAAATCCAACGTCTGAAGTATGCAACAGGACATCTACAGAAGCCCGATGCGTTTTGGAAACAAGTGCTGTGGACTGATGAAGTTAAAATAGAACTCTTTGGACACAATCAGCAAAGGCATGTTTGGAGAAAAAAAGGAGCAGCATTTCATGAAAAGAACACCTTGCCAACTATTAAGCATGGGGGTGGATCTATCATGCTCTGGGGTTGTGTTGCAGCCAGTGGCACAGGAAACATTGCACGGGTGGAGGGAAGAATGGATTCCACTAAATACCAGCAAATTCTGGAAGCAAACATCACACCATCTGTAAAAAAGCTGAAGCTGAAAAGAGGATGGCTTCTACAACAGGACAATGATCCTAAACATACCTCGAAATCCACTATGGAATACCTCAAGAGACGCAGGCTGAAGGTTTTGGAATGGCCATCACAGTCCCCTGATTTAAACATCATTGAAAATTTGTGGGTAGATCTTAAAAGAGCTGTGCATGCAAGACGACCAAAGAATATTACAGAACTAGAAGCCTTTTGCAAGGAAGAATGGGAGAAGATCCCAAGTACAAGAATTGAAAGACTTTTAGCTGGCTATGAAAAGCGTTTGCAAGCTGTGATATCTGCCAGAGGAGGTGTTACTAAGTACTGATTGTGTAGGGTGCCCAAACTTTTGCACCATGCCATAATAATGTTTTTATTTTTTATTTTTGTTCAATTTATGGCATAAGAAGTAACTATGCATCACTGTTTGCAGAAAATATTGTGCATTTTTTCCATTTCCAAGAGAAACTGTGTTAACATCTGTTCAAATAAAAAATCACCAAAATCTGTTATGTATCAAGAAAGTGAATCCAAGTAGCCAGTGAAAGATGCGTGTTTGCAATGTAAACCTACTGGTCTTGTCGTCCAGTGTGACCACCCCATGCTTGGTGACTTTAGTCATATTATGGATGATGTTCTGTGGGTTTACATAACGCTGGTCTAAAACATCATCAAGAGATGCAACACCCAGAATCCTCTGCAAGCTGAAACACAATATTAATTACACAAGAAACATGTATTCTATGCATCAGATTTGTTCTCCTTGATAAATCTATCAGTTGTCTAAAGATGAGAGCTTTTTCTGATATTCTTATAGTTGCAATACAGTAACAATATGACAAGCCATAAATGTGTATAAAACTAAATGGAAAGGGTTTATCGAATGAATTTGTGTGTCTACTGGGTCAGGGTGATGTCTCTCCAGATATCCCGTTCATCCTCCACTGTCAGTGCTCGCCTCTGGACCTGCTCTCCAACTGGCTGACTCAGTCCCTCTGCCTGTGCATGGATCGCAGGATCGACATTTTCCTGGAAGGAACAAACAGAACACAAGCCGTCACCACATATTTTTTTTGGCTTTAGAGTGCACTTTCAAAACATAAATATAAACTGACTTCAAAGTGACTGACAGATGTGATGTATTGATAGTAATGCCTAAAGTCTAACTTGTTCTATTATGGAGCACATAAATTATATACAGTATGTCCAGCCTAACCCACCTGCGTCTCCTTCTCGTGCTTTTTGATACTCCTAAACTTGAAGAAACCTTCTCTGTCCCTCAGTGATGGCCTTTTCTTTATGGAGCTGCAGTCTGAAGGTGGAGCTCGACAGGGAATGGGCTTTAGAGGAGAAGAGGAGGGGAATCTGAGAGGAAAAAGAAAAGGACATTGACTGCTTAATTGTGTGCGGAGCAGCCTAAACAACATCAGTTTTTATGCATATTATAGTGTCTTAATAATTAGAAAGTAATGTTTTTCCAAAACTCTGCCTACCTGTACAACATGTTGTTGTCCTCCAGGTCCTCCGTACCCCAACGGCCCTTCATATCTTCGATCACATGGTTCTTCAGAAACTTTTTCAGGAGCTGCACTGTCTGCTGCCTGGTGACATCAGGGCCAAAATTGCTGTTGCTGCAGAGCAGCTGGTGCAACCAATCCACAGCAGCAGAGGCCATGAAGCAGGAGGAGTAGTGCCGGAAGTTCTGTCGATGCTTCCTGAGGGGCATACCAGCCCGAAACAGACGGGTGACTTCATTCCACTAAAGAGGACAAAGACAGAGTTTAGTACAGAGTTAAACAACCTGTCCATGCTGACCTGATGGTACATTATCCAATTTAATTAGAGAACTCAGACTATGTATCATGAGGGGACATTACTACCAGCAAAAAAATTAAGGACCACTGGAGAATGAGGGATGAATTAGTGCAGTTTAGTTTGAGGTTTACCAGACGTTGAACCCTCACATGTACCTACGGTCAAAGACAGGTAACGACACTCACTGATACCGGCCTATAACGACTGAGTCGTTAGGGGACATTGTTGGCCATCAAGGGACTGAAACACCACCCAGGGGGGGTAAATACCTTCAGCTCACCACCAGTCGGACAGAACTGATGAAGCTTCTTGGATGAGAGGTGAAACGTTTTCTACCTAAAACCAAGTCCAGATATTTTTTTCTACGTTTTATCAGCTGACTGTGCCCTGTATGACTGATAATTTGCACCGACATAAACGTGAAGTTAGGATATAGTTGAAGATTTGACCAAAAAAGAAAAGAAAATCATCTGTGTAAAAATCCACATACAACAAAGACAACTGAAACGCACTATCTGGTCTTACGAATGATCCGGAAGTTTCAAACACAGTTAATTAAAACGTCGATGAGCAACTGAGCAACCCGACGAGCAGCTGGGCTAGCTCTGCAGTAGGTTATTAAAATTATAATGCAGTATTAATCAATTGATAATCACACTCAAGTGTTTTTAGCCAGCAGTTACGTTGACAAGAATTTCATTCAACATGAATTCGCTGGACAACGCCATAAGGTTGTGTAAACAATGTTAAAAGCTTTTGCCGATAACAATAAATTAAGCTAGCTATCAAGTCGGCCAGCTCTGTTTAGCTATAATGACCTTATCGGTTAACGTTAACTCACCAGTTTTGTGGCTCGGTACGGTCCAGGCGTGATAACATGAGAACTCATATTTATCACAAACAGACACCGCTAAAAATTTCAATTCAACCGATATGAGAAGGGTAAAACATATCCATCACACGAGGGAAGACCTGTCGATGTTTTGCAACCAGATACGGAACGGGGAAACATTCAGCTACGCCTGGCCATACTCAATCTGTTCAAAAATACGAGCCGTGGTCTCCTGGCACATGATTGGACGGTACGCGGAACACGTGACCAGAAGAGGGCTGAGCCTTGACTGGAGATTCAAGCCAAATGAAAACAGAACACATCCTAAGTAACCTGTGCTATCTCAGAAGTGTGCAAAACCTAAAATATTATGAATTTAGAGATAACACCAGAGATAATGTGAGAACCGTTGATTACAAGGGCTATTATTGTGAAATTTCGAATTTAAGAAAACTCACTTGCAACAGTGTGTCCTGTATGTAAATAAAATGTTTTGGGAACAACTTGTTTTTCTTTTCAGTAATGATTGAGTTGTAAATGCTTGTAAAATCATTAATAATTATTTAGGGTTTTTTTTACCCCATCAGGTTTGCAGTTATAAATGTTATTATGACGTGCTGGAGGAGGATTTTCCACAATCTGGCAACCCAGAAGTTGTTTTACTAATGGCATAAACTGTAGATAACTAGTCTACAAAGCTTTAGTAAATGATGTATTAAAATTGACTATTTATAGCTTATAAAGTTTATAAATTGTGCCATATCAGAAACTAGCAGGCTACCAATAAATAATCTGATTTACGGTGTTAAGATGTGTTGTGTTTTACCATTGAGATAACCTTTCTGTTCTCATCCACCACAACCAAAAAACTTTTCAGTGTTGTGTGCTGTGCTCCAGTTTGTCTGAGCAGTCAAGAAAGTGCAGTGTCAGCAATGCAGCTTGGAAGTTAGTGCTATTGTTTTCTCTGATACACACAAGTGGAATTACATTAGCATATCTTAACAGGCAAACAGTGTGTGGTGGGGTTCAGACAGAGAGGCATTTCTAAAGGGATAGATATCTGGAGGCGGGGTTGACTCTGACTGCTGCTATAGACATGCTAACATCTTCTAACAGTACACTGTAAATCAAGCTTTCTTGTAAATCCGGTGGCCAATCCAGTTGATGTAGAATTCACACTCACTTGCTGTAGTAGTTTACTACTCATCAAGACTCAGTGAAAAGCAAAGTATGCACAACAGGCAAAGAGACAAGACAAGGAGTATTAGTACTTACAGATATTTTAATAACACACAAGTTGTTTGAAAGTCTAGTGATGGCTACCAGGTCCCTCAGGTTCAATGATGAAACCATTGTATAGAAAAATTAAGTCATCTGAGTGGTAATATTCAGAACAGGTCAGACTAAAGCTGCTGTCACAAAGATATTCCAGGCTGTGGGGATTGCATATACAAATGCAGTGAGGGGCTGAAAAAAGTGTAATCAAATAGTGTAGCACTGCTGTGGATCCCAGGATCCACCATGCTTTCTGAAAGTCATGTTTTCAGTGGGTTTCAGATCCAGACAAAACACAAGAAACAGACCTTTTTTCCAGGATGGGCTTTGTCAGCAGCTCAGAGAAAGAAAACATTTATTCTGTGGTAACCTGCTCAAATGATAAAAGCAATTAGGTATATTGACTGAAATACATTAAGTCATTTGAACAGAGGCAGCATCATTCTACACTATGGTATTTTCAGTGACATAATAGTGTCTTCTTATATTTTTGTGCTAATTTAATAACGCTTGTGTGTTCAACATGTATACAAAAAGGCACAATGGAGTTTAATGTCTTTTTTGACAAATGCTGGTCACAACATAACACTTTTTAAATTAATGGAGAAGTTCTGATGTGCACCTACTAGGGAAACGTCCAAAAAGCGTTGCTATTTTTTTTCCTAAGAAAGTTGTCTCTGTAGCCAATGTCTAATCACCCAAGAACCTATAGAAAATTATCATATTTGATGCTTGAATATAAAACAAGGCATATAGTATTTCATTAGGATAAAAGAATTTGGACCAATACAATCCTATCCTGAACTCCTGAGCAAGACTGCCCCCAGCTGATGATAACAGGGACCTTCTGTATGGAAAACTCTCACCCCTTCTAATACTGCATGTTAAAATGTTTTGGGAGGGTCAAACTAAGTCCTGTGCAGTGGTGGAAGTTAACAAAGAAAATATATATTTATTTGAGGTACTTGTACATTTTCTGGTTCTGCTCTACTCAACTGAAATTCTCATATAACATGTTTTACTCCACTACATTTATTCAGTACAATTCATTACTTTACATATTTAGATTAATAAGACAAAATATAGTAATTGTTAATATTCCTCATTTGAAAGTCACAGAGCTCAATTAAATGGCACAAAATAACCACAAAGAGAGAAAAACAACACTCAGAGACACCAAATGACCACAAAGAGACACAAATCTACTTCAGAGGAACACAAAATGACCACATTAAGTAGCATCATTACCAAAAAGAGACGCAAAACAACAAAAAAGAAACACAAAATGACCCCAAGGGCACAGAAAGATAGCTGGTATTTGCCTAGGGGGACATTTTATTCATAATGGGGTATATTCTTTAGATTGGTTTGTAACGTCATCATATTTACAGATATGCTGTTCACGATAATATTTACAACGTTTGAGTAATCTATTTTCTATAGAAATGTGTGCTTCTTAAAAAATGCCGTGACCCGGATTCGAACCGGGGTTGCTGCGGCCACAACGCAGAGTACTAACCACTATACGATCACGGCGAGCTAGGCACCGGACGACACAAAGCAAAACTATCCGCCCTAAACTCGGGCATAAAATGAAGCTAAACCAGTGCAAACACTGGAGAAAAGATCGTATATGTAGAATGAATCATCACTCGTGGACCTTTTTCTGCTTTAGAAGAGAGATGTAAACCACTTACGATGCTCTCTTTAAACATTTTGAATGATTATCGGTTATTAGTGTTTCCTAGGTTTAGGTCGAATTTAGTTAAAAATATTTAGAGGATAAACTATTTCATCGGATATAGTGGTGTCGAAAAATAAGTTTTTCATCTCCCAGAGTCTGGGCACGCCTTATGAGAGTTTAAAAATATAGTCGATGACTGATTGGTCGGTAACTGTGTATTCATACAGTTTTTGTGTATTCTTATCACCAATTGGACAGGACGTTACAATCCCTCGTTTTTCATTGGCTGATTAAACAGCTTGCCCGAGTTTCAAATTGCATCGTGTAGTGTTGTAGGAAGCGTGTTTTAACGTGTTTTTTGTCGACTACCAGCAGTGTGCGTTGTTATTTTAGCTGTTTTAAAGAACTAAATCCATAACATGTAGCGTACCACGAAGCGTGTTTTTATGTAAAATGGCTGAAGCGGTAACTTCGACTCTGAGAGGATTTCTGGACTTCAGTCCAGTAAACAGAGGCGATGCTAACAAGGAGAACGACGTCCCCGTTTTGAGTTTGAGCCATTTTTCAAAGGCTCCTTTTGTGACATTTGGAGCCGTAAAGCTAGGCACCTCTAAGTCCGCTGTGCTGCGAATTGAGAACCCTACGGATGATGCAGAAGTGGAGGTTACTATTGAAAAGATCCCGTCAATAAAAGGATTTTCTGTGGACCGCAGAACGTTCACGATACAGGTATGCTGATTTTCTTCTTCACAAATTAGACAACTCATGTGTTCCTACAACAAGATTTTAGTTTCCTAAAAAGGCCTGAGAGGTTATTGAAGTCTTGGCTAAATGAACTGAGCAAACGTCACTTAGCAGCTGTATGCCGGAATGTTATTCATATAATGTTTCTGCATGTAACGTTAGCAGTTCCCTCTTGTTCACCATCAAACCTGAGAGTCACTACTGCCAGCCACAGTCGCTAGGAGTTGCTCTTCAAGATATTAGAGAGAACTGAAGTGCTGTCACAAATCCATCCATTCATCATTCATATCTACTTTATATTTCATTTGTATTTTGTGGCATTCATGTGGACGGCAAAGTAAGAATTTCATTGTACAGGGAAACACGTTTCCTAACTGTGCATATGACAAATAAACACTTTGACCTTGACCATTGTATTCAGGGATCCAGATTGCGGTAAATGAATTAACTATAACATTTAAAATTCTTGTTATATCCCACTGATAAATTTAGATAATTCTGTGGTGTGATAATATAGTTTTAAGCCTTTCCCCCCCCTTGCATTTGTCTTACTTTGGTATGAATTACAATCATAGGAAGGGTGACCCACATTATATCACTACTTTGATTTTTTTTTTTCTAGCTGGACAAACATATACCCCTTAATGATTTTTATTTTGTCCTACATGTGCTCATTAAGACTTGCAGTTGCTCCATATCTTGCCTTGTGTTTGTGTTTGCAGCCTGAAGACTCCTTCAATTTGACAGTGTCCTGGACTCCAACAGAAGAAGGCAGGGTCCGGGAGCTCATCATCTTCAACGCCAATGGCGTTATTAAGCACCAGGCTGTTCTGCTGGGGAGAGCAGAAGCACCAAAAAAGAAAAAGGTAAGTCAGATTTGAGGCTTTTAATAGTTGAAATCATATTTACATATTTTTAGATACAGTATAGATATTTTGTTCTGTGTTACAGATGAGACATAACCAGAAAATATGTGTTATAAAACACATTTTATTGCCAGTTAGTTTTTTGTAAGCTGACTCATTGTTTCAGCTCTAAAATATTCTGTATACTTTAGTGTTTCATTGGAATGTTCTTTGCATGTAGCAAACATTTGCAGTTCATATTCACAGCTAAACATTAAGCAACCTCAGTTGTTTGCTCAATACTAAGTAGTGCTTGATGTCACAAGTCTGCCATGTCTTATATTTATTGTTTCTGTATTTCAGAAAAGCTTATGGGACACAATAAAAAACAAAAGGCAAGGTGAAAAAACAGCTGCCCCCAGAGGAAAGAAAACAGAGGCCACCTTGAAGATGGCAGCCAATAAAACTTTCCAAGTGTCCCGGACGCCGCAGTATAAGCGCGACAAGCCCCGCAGCCCACTTGCTTCACTCAATGAGAGCAAAGCTGTCAGAGAGAGGTCCCTCACAAAGTGCAGTCCTACTGCCGACCCTCCTTGGAAAATAGAGGAGCAGAAGGTCATAAATCCCAGCCAGAGGCAAGAGACTCTGGTGTTGTCAGACCAGGAGAATGTCCATCACCTTCAGAAGAGCTCTTGTCTTGTCCTAATTGTCCCGGACACAAAGTCGATGGACTCCGGCAGCATGTCTACTAGCCCAGATGTTCTGGCAGGCAGACCTGAAAACAAAGACATTTCCAAAGTGCTTAACAGGACCCTGTCACCTACTGGGACACCAGAAAGGTTTAAGAAGCTCATGCCTCATATTCAGTCAGAAAGCCCAGTTCCTGCTACTGTAAAGTCTGTGGCTGATGCTGAAGGAGACTGTGCATTAAGTAGAACCCCAGTTCTGTCTTTGAAACATGCACTGGCCATCATCGACTCTGATCTGGCCCACGTTAACCCCAGTCCTCGAGATGATAGTTCAAGCGGTGACTTTTCTGATTCGCTGGAATCCAAGTGTGAGAGTCATAGCTGTGGGTCTGACAGAAATGTCCCCAGAGTATTACCTGATAGCCCAGAGTTGTCTGAGTCTAGTGAGCCAAGACTGACTTTCTTTGTCAACAAAAAAGTTGTTGTGAGTGAGGTTGTTGTTTCAGAGTCTGATAAGGCTGTGGAAAGAGTTAAAAAAGCTTCTTTCACCTCTACCACAGTGACCAAGAGTAAAGCTCCAGTTGAGACAAACTGTTCAAATGGAAGGAAAATGAAGAAATCAAGGCGACGGCTCTTGGACCAAACACTCGAGCTGTCTGACGGCAGCAGTCAGTGTGACTCTGGACCAGGCACTCCAAACCTTCCTGTGATAGACCTGGGCACAGGAACCCAAGGACGGCAAAGCTCTGTGGCTTCCAGCCTCCTGTGTGATGACAGACATCAGGCCCTGGAGTTTACCTCCTCTGGCCTAACTGTACGGCTCGACAGATCGCCTATCCTTGTCACCTCGCCTCTGTCTACGGCTCCTACTTGCTTCTCTTTCTCATGCACATCTCCCCCTCCTGCAGGCCCTGCCCCCATTGCTTTTACCAGCGCCCTTCCCTCATCACCCGTCGGCCCATCTTCTCTACTTCGCCTCAACCTCTCAACGGACCCTAATGTGTATGAGCAGCTGACACATGTGTCCGATAAGGAAGAGTCATTTCCCATTCACATAGCATTGAAGAGCAAGAAGAGGAAGAGTGAGGAGTATTTGAAAAGTGATGCAAAGGAAGAAGATGCCTTGAAAAGTGACAGGGTCAAAAGGAGCAGGGTGGTAGCTGGAAAAACTGAGCCTCCAAGATCAGCGCAGGAGCAGAGAAGTGCATCACAGAGGCAACTGCCGAGAGCAGCAGGTAGGCAGCTGTGAAGTGTAAAATGCTTGTTACTTCTGTTTCATACCTCTGTAAACAGTGATTGCACTTTCAAGTACATAAAAGCTTAATTTGCCAGTTTATTCAAGACACTCATCAGGGATAGATGCTAATATTTTTAAGCGCTGGTCCCACGGGCCACCAAGCCCCTAAATATTTGCCACAGTACATTTTTGTGCCACAGAAGTAGACATATGTAAAAACAATGCAGAAAAGACCATCTAACACTTCAGTAAATGAAAAGACATTAACAGAATGAAAATAGGTTCCTGTGTTGGAACCTGTGTGTCAAATGTCTGCCTTGTTTGTGGACCCTCTGTGTTTACTACAAACGCTTTGTTTTCCAGGCTCGTTGAGTTCAATGTCTGCATCATCTCTGAAGAGTGTGAGGTCTGCAGTCCCTGCCAAGAAGAAGCAGCAGCTGAGCTCTAAACCTACCTCACGAGGTATAAAATGACATCTAATTACCTTCTCAAGGGAAGTACTTTCATACAAGAGTTGATGTCTGCGCTTGGGGTGCAGGTCTCTCTGTGAGTGAGGGTTAATAACGTGTTCTTAGGAGAGACACATTCATAACTTAAAAGCCACGAAGCAAAGTTATAACTCAAACCTGTAATGATCATATGAAGTACAATCTTTTGTACTTCATATGATCATTACAGGTTTGAGTCTTCACTACAATTTATGGTGAAATTGAACATAGCTTTTGTCCTGTTTGTCATAGGTGCTCCAAGTCTGAAATCGTCTCGCACTCCATCTGTGAAGAAGTCAAAAATTGTTGCTGTAGCACAGTCAAAGCTGACCTTTATTAAGCCTGCTCAAACAGGTATTTGATATCAGGATAATGTAAAATCGGCTTTTGTGGTGCATGAAAATATGTTTCACTTTTTTTTTTTTTTTAATCTTTAAAATGTTGTTTTCTGCATCAATCGTTTTCTTGCAGCTATACCGAGGCACCCGATGCCGTTTGCAGCCAAGAACATGTTCTATGATGAGAGGTGGATTGAGAAGCAGGAGAGAGGGTTTACATGGTGGATCAACTATGTCCTCACCCCAGATGACTTTAAAGTCAACACAGAGGTTGCTAAAGGTATCATCCGTGCACTTAGACACTGAGCAGACTGTCGCCACTTTGGGGAAGCATAGTGTTCGGTTTCCAGAAATAAAGAAGTGAATCACACTCTGATAGTAGCTTGCATGTGATTTCTCATTCACTGAACATTTTACACCTTAAACACAATAATTATTTCAGTGGACTTTACAGAGGTTTTTCAGCTCTAGCTTGTACAGTGGACTTGATAGTTCTGTACAAGTCTTAAGCTTTGCCTCTGTCATGTGTTTCTTGTGCAGTGAGCGCCGTGTCCATTGCTATGGGCAGTGATAACGACTTCAGTGTGCTTAAAGCTCCTACCAAAGAGGAGATGTCTTTCAGCACCTACACAGCCCGACGGAATCTAAACCGCCTCCGTCGTTCTGCCTGCCAGCTGTTCACATCAGAGGCCATGATCAAGGCTATTCAGAGGCTCGAACTGGAGGTGGAGGCCAAGCGGCTGCTGGTCCGAAAAGACCGCCATCTTTGGAAGGACATAGGTAAATGTCCTATATTATAAAACTGCCGTCGTAGGGTTTTTCAGTGCTGTGGAGTTCCTATCAAACCTCTGGATAATCTTGAAAGTAATTATTTTCTTGGTTTTTGCCAACTTTTAGGTGAACGACAAAAAGTCCTCAACTGGCTTCTTTCGTACAATCCGCTGTGGTTGCGGATTGGGCTCGAGGTATCGATACATCGTTCTCTTCTGCTTTTCAACATTAGTTTTGTTTAGCATTCATGTTAAATACAGTGTTGCTCTTTCTCAGACGATCTACGGGGAGTTGATTTCACTAGAGAGCAACAGTGATGCCTTGGGTCTGGCTATGTTCATCCTCCAGCGGCTGCTGTGGAACCCAGACATTGCTGCAGAGTTCAGGCACCCCAGGGTGCCTCACCTTTACAAAGATGGTAATTAAACACCACTAGCTGTTGTGCTATCTGAACCAAAGACTGTTGTGTTACTGCCACTAGAGGTAGAGACTTTCTTGGGAAACTACTTGTAGTATATTTGAATGCAGAATTATTAAAACAACATTGTGTTTCAGCAGACACAAACGTTTTTGTCTTATCATAAACAGACGGAAATCCTGACCCTTCATCAGCATCCTAACATCAGAATCGATAACTAACATTTGAGAAGCCTGAACCAAAGAAAGTTTTGAGATTTTACTTTTTAAAAAAAGTTATCTTAAAATGGTTAATTGAATATCCAACCAGTCACTGTTAGGTTAAAATGTCCCAAACTTTTCCACCTCCCAAAAATACACTTTTGTATATAGATTTAAAAAGTATGGCTGAACATTTCAGGTTTCTTTAAATTTGGAATCCCTCTTTCAACTTAGAAGCACACATTTACACTATTATGGGGCCTTTACTCGAACATTAGAAATCGAAAGAGTATCAATTCAGTTAAGATTTGTTATGTAGTAGTATAACAAAAACTAATGTAGGCTTGTGTTAACCTTTTCTTGTTGAGGCCATGAGGAGGCGCTGTCTCGCTTTACTCTGAAGAAGCTGCTCCTGCTGGTGTGTTTCCTGGACAAGGCCAAAGAGTCTCGGCTGATTGAGCACGACCCCTGTCTGTTCTGCGTGGATTCAGAGTTCAAGGTAGGCCAAGGCCTCCCCCTGTCAACAATAAACATTAAATCCATAAAAGGGGGGGGAATCTAATCACTGTCTTGTTGAAGGTGCAGCCATGTCAAATAAGTGAAATCCTAAACTTGTGGAGAACATAAAATCTGGAGGTTTTTGTCACTTATGAAGATCTCATACTCCTGGCTTCTTTCCTGTCTTAGACTGAATGTTAACAGGAAATAACAGGTCTTATTTTTAGTATATAATACAGTAATTGTGATATTAAAGCCATCAAAGTCAGATAAACTGGACAAAAAATAAACCACATTATGATTATGACTGACATGTAGAAACAGCAATATTATGGGGGTGTTGAAATGGGATTGCTCTGTCACACAGTTTTTAATGGATATAATGAACCGCACACGTAAATGTGGTTGTCACTGCTTCTGACTGACTGACAGAAGGTGAAATTCTTGCACTCACCTGCTGACACTCGTGCTGTGGTTGCCAAACTAGTCACAATATGCTGCACACATTGCTTAGTCAGAGTTTGACTGACAGCTTCCGCATGAGCACAAACAATTCGTACTAACCAGACAAATGCACCGGGGTTCGCGTTAACTAAATTATATAGCGTAGGTGTTAAAGCACCCTTACAGGCATTTTATACATGGCACCTATTAGGATACTAATTCTAATAATATACTGTGCATATCAGGCCTGATTTTATTTTAATTAATTTATTTTTTTTTGGTTACAGACAAGTAAAGACCTACTCCTGGCCTTCTCCAGGGACTTCCTGAGTGGAGAGGGGATCCTCCCCCGACACCTCGGCTACCTGGGGTTACCTGTCTCCCACGTTCAGATGCCCTTGGATGAGTTCAACTTTGCTGTGAAGAATCTGGCAGTTGACTTGAAATGTGGGATTCGGCTAGTGTGAGTGAGATGTCATGAATTTTAATATGACACTTTGATCCCCGTTGGGATATTCACTTTTCTCAGAGGTCAGGCTCAGCTACACCTCAGTATCCCTGGAGCTTAGCAGGATTCTCACTAACTGCCTTGTCAGTGTAACAGGATTACTCTGTGATCATAGTTCAGTCTTGTATGTGGCTCTTCAGGACAAAGGTAGATTTAAGGATCAGAAATGCTCTAGAACAGGCATGGATGAATAGTTTGCAATCAGTTTTTCAACTAAATTTCCTGAAAAGAAATTGTATCACACTATCTGATCTTTAGGTCCACTTAAAACTAATTCCCAGCTAATAAAGGCAGTTTAGATACCTCAGAAACATCTGTGTTTCTCGATTCTACAGTACATGTAACACAAAAGACCTAAAAAAAAAAAAAAGCATCCTCATTATGAAGTTTTTTTTCATATTGGGTTTCTTTCAGCCGTGTGATGGAACTCCTCACCCAGGACTGGGCTTTGTTGGCGAAGCTCCGTCTGCCAGCCATCAGCCGCCTGCAGAAGGTTCACAACGTCGACATTGTTCTGCAAGTGCTCAAAAGCAAAGGGGTCGATCTCAAGGATGAAAATGGTAATTATGGTTTTTGTCCTGAGCAAACAGTAACAGGGAGAGAGGCTCAACCTGAGGCAGTGTTTGCCCTCAACTAAATGAGAGTTTGTCATCATGTTTTTGGACATTTCTCATTGCCTACATGTTTCACTTCGGCATGAAAAACTGACACTGTGCTGCGGTCTGTGTGCAGTAAACTGATGGTTCAGCATTTTGTCTTCATTTTCAGGCTCCACCATTGACTCCAGAGACATTGTGGATGGACACAGAGAAAAGACATTAAGCCTCTTGTGGAAAATCATCTTTGCGTTTCATGTGCGTATCTGACTTGGCTGGTTGTTCACAAAATTCTAGTCATTTTTTAACTTGTGAAAATTGTTCACTGATAAGAGATTTTATTTGACAACACTTTAAGGTGGAGGTGATTCTGGACGAGGATCAGTTGAGGGAAGAGACTGGATTCCTGAAGAGAGCGTTGAGGACCAAACGGAGGCTGCTATGTGTGAGGGCCGATTGGGGACTTCAGCCAAGTCCTGCAAAGACCCGGGTGCCGTATGAACATGGCAGCACCAGGATTACCCTGCTGATGGACTGGGCCCGTGCTGTGTGTGACTTCTACAACCTGAAGGTGAGTTTGAAATAAAATCTGACATGACTTTGACCTCTTATCAAAAGATGGAACAATAAAGAACAGCTTCACTGTTGTTGAGCTTAGTTTTTCAGCCCTAAATCAGTGTCACAGAAGTCTTCACAGGGTCTGCTTTTAGAAGACAGGAAATGTCAGGAAAAGTCAGCTGTCTGTCTGCATAGGTGGAGAACTTCACCGTGGCGTTCTCAGATGGCCGCATCCTCTGCTACCTTATCCACCACTACCACCCCAGTCTGCTGCCAGAGGAGGCTGTCAGTCACAGCACCACACAGACTGTCGAGTGCTCACCGAGGGGCCGCCTTGAGCTCAGCTGCTCAGCCAGCGATTCTGACAGCTCCTTTGACTCCTTGCCGACAGGCCTGTACGGTACGTCAGCTGTGTGCCGTGTCCTCACTGCAGTTATCTGTTTGAATGCACGTTTTTTAAAATGATCCAGCGGTGATTTGCTCATCACACAGACATTATTGGTGTGGAAAACAGGCATTTGGGGGAAAAAGAAATTGAGGGAGATCATAGGAGTAAACCAGAATGTAGGGTTAGGCCCACTGGTGCCCGCAGAGTGGTACTGCAAAGGTTTAAATTAAAATGATGTATTTATTTATTTATTTTATTAACGCTGTCAAATAACTGCATTTTTTTAAAATATCTGTTCTAAACAATGCTGGAAAGTAACAAAGTACATTTATTGAAGTACTGTACTTAAGTACAATTATGAGGTATTTGTACTTGAGTATTTTCATTTTCTGTTACTTCATACTTGGACTTCACTACATTTTAGAAGCAAATATTGTACTTTTTACTCCACTACATTTACTTTTTAACTTTAGTTATTTTACAGAACTAAATGAATACAAAAATGACTCTACGGTGGAGAATTCACCAGCTACATTCCCTTTCAAGTAGCTCCGAGGTTGACAAATCCAACCAGTGGTCGCTGCTCCTTCCCCTACACAACCACAGTCCCAACGATGTAAAATGTAAGCTTGTATGTATGACTTCTAAGTGCAGCTGTGTCATTTTGTGAACAGGCCCAGATTCTCCATCAGTGACGTTTAAACAGCTTCTGGAAAACGAGAAAAACAACTTCAGACTGGTCAACACTGCTGTGGCTTTCCTTGGCGGAGTTCCCGCCATGATCAACCCAGCTGACATGTCCAACACTATCCCCAGTGAGAAGGTGAGAGGGACGAGGCTTCTCTGTCCTCTGACATGCTGACGTTCAATGTGTGATTAATTGTAATGTGTGATTAATTGTCAGTGGAACATTTTTCCTTTATGAGCAGAAGCAGTTTTGTTTTCTGCCATTAACAGAATATTATTCATGTTCCCAAGTATTGATTCCTCACTCTTCCTTCTGTCATGGCCACAAGATTTTATCGCATGTTTTCACTGTGCAGTGTCGGCTGTTAGTGCCAGCTCCGAGACCAGGGTCTTTTCATAGCTGTATTTACAAATAACAAAATGCACTGAATCACTTTTAGAAGATGAAGCAATCAAGGTTTAAATTAATGGGGTTTTTTGGAACAACAAACTGTAAATTGTTGTTCTATTAAATCCTGTAGATGGAAATAAGTCAACCCCAAGATGTTTGAAAATTAGTGTTAAGACCAGAGTGAACACTACATTTCTGCCTTTTATCCACATCTGTGTATTTCCAGGTTGTGATGTCTTACCTTTCGTTCCTGTGTGCTCGTCTGCTGGACCTGAGGAAAGAAACCAGGGCAGCTCGGGTGATACAGGGCGCCTGGAGGAAATACAGCCTAAAGAAAGATCTGCAGCTCTACGAGGTGGGTTCTGAGTTTGGTGCCAAGTTTGAGATGTTAGCCAGTTATGTATGGATGGTCCCAAAATGATGCCTAATGATTTATTCATTTATCTTGTTTCTTTTGGACACAGGAAAGAAACACAGCTGCTCTGAAAATCCAGTTAGTTGTGAGGAATTTTCTACAGAAGTGCAGGGCTAAGAGGCGGAATCAAGCTGCTGTTCTCATCCAGTCTGCCTGGAGGGGATATTTCACCCGCAACAGGCTGAGGCTAAGAAAAGAGGCTCAATTTCAGACTCTGCAGCATGAAGCAGCAGCTGTCATTCAGGTAGGTGTTTGTTAGTCTATGTGCGGATGAAAGGCTGACAATAAAATATAAAATATTGATTTGCTCAGGTTTTTAATGTCTGTCCATTTTGTTACAGCAAGGATACTAGAATAATGGAGCCTGCTTGTGTAATCACTTTTTAAACAGATGTTTCTTATCTTGTCCATACAGGCTCACTGGAGGATGTTGTTGGTCAGGAGGGCTTACCTACGCCTCAGATACTACACCATTGTTGTCCAAGCACAGTGGAGAATGAAGAGGGTTGCTTCTGCTTATGAAAGAATCTACTGGGCGGCAACAGTCATTCAGAAGCACTCACGAGCATGGGCTCTTGCAAGAAAAGATCGGGAATGGTATTGTTCCTTTAGAACTGTAGTGGTAAAAATACAGAGAGGATATAGAAGATGGAAAACCCAGAAAACAGAAAAAGAAAACCGAGCTGCCAAAGTGATACAAGCCATGTTTAAGAAGTGGTACAAGGAAAAACTGGCCACAAGAAGTGCTGCTGCTGTAAGGATTCAGTCTTGGTACAGAATGCAGAGGTGTCTCCATCAGTACAGAAAGATCAAGAGAAGCATCATGCTCTTTCAAGCCCAATACAGAGGTCATGCACAGAGGCGATGCTTTCAGATGTGGAAGCATCAGCACCACTCAGCTACTGTCATCCAGAGCGCCTTCCGAGGACATGCTGTCAGAAAACAGGTGGCACAAAAGAGATGTGCTGCAGTCATAATTCAATGCTGGTTTAGGGCCTCTGTGAAAAGAGACATGGAGAGGCAAATGTTTATGAGGATGAGATGGGCTGCTGTTACCATACAGGCAGCTTATCGTGGAAAAGTGGCTCGAGAGTCGCTGAAGAAACAACACAAGGCAGCAAAGGTAATCCAGGCAGGTTTTAGGAGGTATGCTGCTCAAAGGCACTATCTTGTCTTGAAAAAAGCTGCAGCTGTGATACAGCAGAAGTACAGAGCCACAACTTTGGCTCATAAGACAAAGCAGAATTATGACGCTCTTAGGAAAGCTGCACTTATCATACAAGCGAACTGGAGAGGCAGAGCTGACAGGAAGTGGATAGAAAAGCAGCATCAATGTGCAACACTGATACAGTCTTACTATCGTCAGCACAAAGCACAAGCTGAGTACAGGTCAAAGAAGGCAGCAGCTGTAATCATACAATGTCACTACAAAGCTTATGTTGCTGGAAAGGAGACCAGGGAAGCATTTCTGCACCAGAGAGCAGCCTGTGTTACTCTTCAAGCTGCATTCAGAGGCATGAGAGTTAGGACAGAGCTGAACAAAATGCACTGGGCGGCAACTGTCATTCAATCTTCAGTTAGGATGTTTTTATGTAGGAAACAATATTATCTCCTTCAAAGTGCTGTGATTATTATCCAAAGTCGATACAGAGCTCTTCTGCTCCGCAGGGCACAGCAAACTGAGTACAGGGAGCTAAAGCAGGCCACCATAAAGATACAAGCTGTCTACAGAGGATTTAGAGTGAGGGAAGACCTAAAGAAGAGGCACAACGCAGCCAGAGCAATCCAAGCTCAGTTTAGGATGCACAGAATGCGTATGGCATATCTTGCCACCAAGTGTGCTGCCATTATTATTCAGGAACGCTACAGAGCGAGGTTGCTCAGGGATCAGCAGCTGCAGAACTACAGAACAATGAAATCTTCAGCTGTAGCCATCCAGGCAGCATATCGTGGCCACAGGGCTAGGAGGAAGGTTGCAGAGATGCACAGAGCTGCTGTGGTCATTCAGCGAAAGTTCCTCACCATCCGAGACAGAAATAGGTTTATAGCTATCAAGAAAGCAGTTTTGGTTTGTCAACAGAGGTACAGAGCAATGATGCTGGCAAGAAAAGAACATCTGGTATATCTGTCAAAGCGCAGGGCAGTCATCTATCTGCAAGCAGCCTACCGAGGATATGAGGTCAGAAAGCAGTTGCATATCCAGCATATGGCAGCTGTAACAATTCAGTCTCACTTCCGCAAATATCAGCACAGAACCTACTACAAGAAGCTCTGCTGGGCTGCCAGTGTACTGCAGACATGTTACAGAGCCAACAAAAAAATGAGAGAGGAGATGCAAACCCTAAAAGCCAAGAGAAATGCTGCTGTTGTCTTACAAGCTGCGTTTCATGGAATGAAATCCAGAAGAATAATCAAACAAAGGCATCAGGCTGCCACTGTTATCCAGAGAGCTTACAGAACCCACTGTGAGCGCAAGCAGTACCTAACCTTAAAATCCTCTGTCCTCACCATTCAACGGAGGTATCGGACCACTGTAGCAGCAAAGGAAAAAAGGAAAAGAGACCTGCAAATGCGCAGAGCAGCTGTCGTTCTTCAGGCAATGTACAGAGGCCAGCAGGTGAGGAAAGAGTTTGCTCGTCGCCATCAGGCTGCCACTGTGATCCAGTCTGCGTTCAGAAAGCACAGAGAGGAAGTCAAATTTCAGGCCATGCGACTATCTGCAGTTGTCATCCAGAGACACTATCGGGCCCTTGTTCTTCAGAGGCGAGCAAAAGAAAACTTCCTAAAAGTGAGAAATTCTGCTGTTGTTCTCCAGGCAGCTTTCAGAGGTTATCATGTTCGAACCAACATTGCCAAGATGCACAGGGCGGCTACTGTCATTCAGGCAAACTTCAGGAGGTACAAACAGCAGTCAGAGTTCAGGAGACGGCACTGGGCTGCCTCTGTCTTACAGCAGAGGTTTAGAGCTCGGAGACAGAGAAACCTTGAGATGAAAAATTACCAAGAGGTCAGAAAAGCTGCTGTTGTATTACAGGCTGCCTATCGTGGAATGAAATCCAGAAGAATCATCAAACAAAGCCATCAGTCTGCCAGTGTTATCCAGAGAGCTTTCAGAGCCTATTCCGAACGCAAGCAGTATCTGAGCTTAAAATCCTCTGTCCTTACCATTCAGCAGCGATATCGGGCCACTGTATCAGGTAAAGCACAAAGAACACAGTACCTGGAACTGCGTGGTGCAGCCACACGACGTGCCGCTGTCATGCTTCAGGCAGCATACAGAGGGTGTCGGGTGAGGAAAGAGTTTGCTCATCGCCATCAGGCCGCCACTGTGATCCAGTCTGCGTTCAGAAAACACAGAGAGGAAGTCAAATTTCAGGCCATGCGACTATCTGCAGTTATCATCCAGAGACACTATCTGGCCCTTGTTCTTCAGAGGCGAGCAAAAGAAAACTTCCTAAAAGTGAGAAATTCTGCTGTTGTTCTCCAGGCAGCTTTCAGAGGTCATCATGTTCGAACCAACATTGCCAAGATGCACAGGGCGGCTACTGTCATTCAGGCAAACTTCAGGAGGCACAAACAGCAGTCAGCGTTCAGGAGACGGCGCTGGGCTGCCTCTGTCTTACAGCAGAGGTTTAGAGCTCGGAGACAGAGAAACCTTGAGATGAAAAATTACCAAGAGGTCAGAAAAGCTGCTGTTGTATTACAGGCTGCCTATCGTGGAATGAAATCCAGAAGAATCATCAAACAAAGCCATCAGTCTGCCAGTGTTATCCAGAGAGCTTTCAGAGCACACTGTGAGCACAAGCAGTATCTGACCTTAAAATCCTCTGTCCTCACCATTCAGCAGCGAAGGAGAAACCTCAAAGAAAACCACAAAGCTGCCACTGTTATCCAGAGAGCTTTCAGAGCACACTGTGAGCACAAGCAGTATCTGACCTTAAAATCCTCTGTCCTCACCATTCAGCAGCGGTATCGAGCCACTGTAGCAGCAAAGGAACAAATGAAAAAATGGCAAAAAGCACGACGTGCCGCTGTCATTCTTCAGGCAGCATACAGAGGGTGTCGTGTGAGGAAAGAGTTTGCTCGTCGCCATCAGGCCGCCACTGTGATCCAGTCTGCGTTCAGAAAACACAGAGAGGAAGTCAAATTTCAGGCCATGCGACTATCTGTAGTTATCATCCAGAGACACTATCGGGCCCTTGTTCTTCAGAGGCGAGCAAAAGAAAACTTCCTAAAAGTGAGAAATTCTGCTGTTGTTCTCCAGGCAGCTTTCAGAGGTTATCATGTTCGAACCAACATTGCCAAGATGCACAGGGCGGCTACTGTCATTCAGGCAAACTTCAGGAGGTACAAACAGCAGTCAGAGTTCAGGAGACGGCACTGGGCTGCCTCTGTCTTACAGCAGAGGTTTAGAGCTCGGAGACAGAGAAACCTTGAGATGAAAAATTACCAAGAGGTCAGAAAAGCTGCTGTTGTATTACAGGCTGCCTATCGTGGAATGAAATCAAGGAGAAACCTCAAAGAAAACCACAAAGCTGCCACTGTTATCCAGAGAGCTTTCAGAGCACACTGTGAGCACAAGCAGTATCTGACCTTAAAATCCTCTGTCCTCACCATTCAGCAGCGGTATCGAGCCACTGTAGCAGCAAAGGAACAAATGAAAAAATGGCAAAAAACACGACGTGCCGCTGTCATGCTTCAGGCAGCATACAGAGGGTGTCGGGTGAGGAAAGAGTTTGCTCATCGCCATCAGGCCGCCACTGTGATCCAGTCTGCGTTCAGAAAACACAGAGAGGAAGTCAAATTTCAGGCCATGCGACTATCTGTAGTTATCATCCAGAGACACTATCGGGCCCTTGTTCTTCAGAGGCGAGCAAAAGAAAACTTCCTAAAAGTGAGAAATTCTGCTGTTGTTCTCCAGGCAGCTTTCAGAGGTCATCATGTTCGAACCAACATTGCCAAGATGCACAGGGCGGCTACTGTCATTCAGGCAAACTTCAGGAGGCACAAACAGCAGTTAGCGTTCAGGAGACGGCGCTGGGCTGCCTCTGTCTTACAGCAGAGGTTTAGAGCTCGGAGACAGAGAAACCTTGAGATGAAAAATTACCAAGAGGTCAGAAAAGCTGCTGTTGTATTACAGGCTGCCTATCGTGGAATGAAATCCAGAAGAATCATCAAACAAAGCCATCAGTCTGCCAGTGTTATCCAGAGAGCTTTCAGAGCCTATTCCGAACGCAAGCAGTATCTGAGCTTAAAATCCTCTGTCCTTACCATTCAGCAGCGATATCGGGCCACTGTATCAGGTAAAGCACAAAGAACACAGTACCTGGAACTGCGTGGTGCAGCCATCATCCTTCAGGCAGTGTACAGAGGCCAGCAGGTGAGGAAGGAGGTTGCTCGTCGCCATCACGCTGCCACTGTGATCCAGTCTGTGTTCAGAAAGCACAGAGAGGAAGTCAAATTTCAGGCCATACAACTGTCTGCAGTTATCATCCAGAGACACTATCGGGCCTGTATTCTCCAAAGACAGGAAAGAGAAAAGTTTGTGAAAGTGAAACAATCCACCATCATCATCCAGGCAGCATTTAGAGGGTGGTGTGTCAGGAAGGACTTCAGGCGACGTAATCAAGCTGCCATTATGATCCAGTCATGCTGGAGATCCTCAGTGCAGAGGCGTATCATCCAAAGGAAGAGAGAAGCAGCCATTAAACTCCAGCGGAGGTTCCGGGCAGTGCAGCTTGGCAGGGCGGAGAGGAACAACTACATCCGGATGCGGCAAGCTGTCGTCACACTTCAGGCACACTGCAAGGCTTGGATTGCAAGAAGACAGGTAATAGGCATAGTTTAAAGTTCAAAGCCTGCTATAAATTGGTATTTTGTTCCTCGATACAGCATTGAGTTTATATTCATTAACCTTGGGGGAATGTAAAAATTTTAACTGGTGATCCATCAAAGCAAACATTGCATTTAAATGTTAATTTAAAATCTTGAGTAGACAAATTAAATTAATATAGTCAAGTGACAGGAAACCACTGCCTGCCCAGAACAAACCTGACCATATTAAAATTTGATTTGTAGTAAATGGGCCCAAAAAATAAAAAGCAAAATGGTTGTATCCTTTGCATAACGTTGTGTTTCAGGTACAAGAGGTAGCCAAGGCAGAGAGGAGGCTTCGTTTTACGTCAGCTGTCTTCCATCATCTCAGTGCCATCAAGATCCAACGAGCTCTGAGAGCCCACTGGGCTTTAGAGTCGGCAAAAAGGCAAATCCATTCCATCATCACCATACAGGTACAGATAAACAGGTCTGAATGCCATTTTTCCAAACTGAATTTGGCAGTGGAAACAATTAGTGCTCTGGTGCATGTAATTAAATCTATGAATGAAACATTTCTTAAAATTATTCCCTTGTTTCTTAGCAATGGGTGAAAGCAAAGCAGCAGAGAAGACGGTATCTGGAGGAAAAGAGGAAGGTGGTTATAGTGCAGAGAGCGGTCAAGCGCTGGTTAGCCTGTCGCCACAAAGCAGCATACATCATCCAGAAGGCTGTCCGAAAATTCCTCCTGCTCAGGCGCCAGAAGAGGGTTCAACGGGGCATTGTCAAAGCTCAGGTAACCACAGTCAGAGACAGCCTTGGTTTTTACATGCACCAGTGCTTATCACCTGATTGGAGTCTTTCCCCCTCCCATCTTCTCCCTCCAGGCTCTGTGGAGAGGACACCGCTCCCGCCGACTGAATGACAATCCTAAGGTTGTAAAGTTGAGACACCGCCTACTTAAAGTCTCTGCCAGCATCCGAGAGGAGGACAAACTGTGTAACAAAACGTCATCTGCGCTGGATTACCTCCTTCGTTACAAACACTTCTCCTACATTCTAGAGGCCCTTAAAAATCTAGGTAAGGTTTGGTTATTTCTGCTAATTGACCCATATGTAGACACTGTAAAGCTTATAAACTAGCTTTAGTGGAAGAGCAACTACTATATATGAAACTCAGTTCGTTACATTAGCAGCTGGTTAATACCTGCTCCTAAAATCAAATGTGTGTGAAAATCCAACCATGTGTTTGTGCCTCTCTTTTTGTGTGTGTGTGTTCACAGAAACTGCCACCAGGCTTTCCCCAGAATGCTGTGAGCGGCTGGTGGAGAGCGGTGCCACTAATGTCATCTTCACGCTCATCCGCTGCTGCAACAGGAGCGTCCCCTGCATGGACGTCATCACCTTATCCATCCAGATCCTCCTTAACCTTTCCAAGGTACCTCGAACCCAGAGCTGCTGGTTTTCTCTAACATTGCCTTATAAAGTGATCAACGTTTGAAGATAATGGTAAATATAGTGATCAGTTGACATTAATGCTACACTTCCTACCTGAATTTAGGAATGCATTTTCAGTCCAGTTTTCATTTACAGTAGCCAAAGTCCTCCAATCACACCAAATTAGTTTCACTTACCATGTATAGCATATGTAAAATAAATTGTGTAAAGTATTGCCAAATACTTGTGTGTTATAGGTTTAAATTTCAGTGTTCAAATTGTAGAATAACAGAACAAGACTAAAGTGTACAGCAAATTTGCAGTGTGAACATATAAACATAAAAATGTAAAGTCTGTGAGATTTTGCTAATATTTGACTTGTTCGGCTTGTAGGTTGTACCAGACAAAAGATCCTCCTCCACTGGCTGCAGCATTATATTTACAATATTATAAATAATATTTAAATAATTAAAATATTAGCTGAGAAAATATGAAAAGGAGCATTATTTAATACTGTAACGCCAGAACATCACATTGAATTAAACAGACACTTGTCCAGGCAAGTTTCCTATTAGGTTTTTGCAGTGAGAGGTGAAACTGGAGGACAGGGAACCAAGATATGAGATCAAAGTGTAAGATGAATCTGACTCTATTGTTTTCTTGTCCCCGTTTTATCCAAATCTGCAAGTCCCCATTCCCTGATCACAGCATGTTTGGTTGGTTTTATTGATTTTATTCATGTTGCTGTGTGAACTTTGATTGCTTGACTTGGAAAATAATCAGAAACTCTGCCAAGAACATGTTGGCAGGGTTTATAGTAATTTCCTTTTAACAGTGAAAATAATGGTGGTGCACTCTGATCACATGAAACTCTGCTCCCCGATTGACAGGTTGTATCAGACTTATTTTATATTATGCTACTTATTTATCTACTTTATATTTCATTTGTATTTTGTGGCATTCATGTGGACGGCAAAGTGAGAATTTCATTGTACAGGGAAACACGTTTCCCAACTGTGCATATGACAAATAAACACTTTGACCTTTGACTTAACAACAGCAACATGACTGTGGATGTTATCAGCTTTTGTTTGTGTTTGGTCACCAACAACCTTGAGTGCATACTGTGTGTGGGAGACAGGCACCTTGCTATTATCCTGTCTCTCAAATCTTTTTTTTCCTTTGCTCTGTCTGAACAAGTGTTTACTGCGGTGCTTTGTGGGTGAAGGGAACAACGTTCGTGCTAATTGTTGTGTGCAAGCAGTGACGGAAATGTGTTTGATCAGAAATAAGGACATCAAAACATTTGAAGATCTTTTTGACATTAATATTTCCAAGTCAATGAACCACTGTTTGTAGTGATAGTGCACGTTATGCTGTCCCCACCATTCACCCATAATGCACCATGTTAAACATTGCATTACATTGTTATGTTTTAGGTCCATAGGTTTTAATTTCATGTTTGTACTGTCTTCCCTATTTGCTCTCTTTCCTCTCATCTACTCACTCTGGGTTTCCTCCTTCAGTACCACAAAACCATCGAGGCAGTATATTTGGTGGAACATTCTGTAGACACACTGCTGGACCTGCTGCAGAGATACCGGGAGAAGGCAGGGGATAAAGTGGCAGAAAAGGGTGGCAGCATCTTCACAAAGGCCTGCTTCCTCCTCGCTCTCCTGCTGCAAGACAACCATCGTGCTGTGGTCCGTAACTACTGTAACATACTTTTGAAATGAGTTATTCCAGTAATTTAAGGAAATTTAATATAAATACTAATAAAAACTACAAGGAAAGAGTATAAATATAATGCATTTTATTTTCTTTAGGAGGTTAAGAAGCTCCCCAAGGCCTTGGAAAGGATACGCAGTATTTATCACCTCACTGCTCGCAAACACAAGATGGATGCAGAAAGAACTGTTGCCAAACAGAAGATGAATGCCTCAGTCAACGGGAGCTTCTTTGTTCAAGCAACGCCTCGTAAATCCCGCCCTGTGCCAAAGTATGTACATATATACTGTGTACAGGAGTAAAATCCTCTCATAACTAGCCACAAATGCGTAGTCTGTGATTTACGATTAGTTAAGATTACAACTGTGTCTCCTAAAGGCCATAAATGTGTTCATTTATATATAAATATTGAGATTTACAAATGCGTAAAAACAATTTTCTGCAGTTCTTTAAAATGTATTTACAAGGGGTGTGTATCACTCCCTCACACAATTTGATATGTATCTTGATACATGGTCCACGATTAGATACAAATACTGCAAAATGTGTAAAGATACGATTCAGAGTGATTTTGATTCGATGCAGCGGATACTCTGTTTTAGCTTTTATTTGAAACACTAACTGTATTGTTTCCATGGTTCAACAACGTGTCGCCTTCATAACGTTTCTACCTGTGAGGTCAGTAGTACTCCCGGTAAAGGCTACTCAACACAAGCGTTGCATGTTCTACACACCGCACTGTGTGCAGTGTTTTTCCTGGACCTGCAAAATTAAGGAGGCATTTGAATGCTGGGAGGGGCTGGTCCACACACACAGTGAGAAGTTCCAGAAAACTTGCCAAAGTTCAGTTTATGAGGTCCTTATTGATTTTACACAAACTCATTTAGTTTGAATCTGTGGTTTTCAACTGACGCAGCTGTAAATCTGACTATCGCTTTACCGATTTCGGTTTCTTTACAGATTGCTAGGTTCGTGTGGACAGATCACTTAACACACATGGACCATGTTATGCTCATGTGCGAGGGTGAAACATTTTCTCGCTCTTAAGGACAGGTGGAGCCATTATGAAAATCATTCTGCAATCAGTATTTAATGTCAGTACACAAGTTAGGCCCTCTGTTCACCATGGAATATGTGGTCACAGCACTACTACCTACTAGCTACCAACATTACTTTTAACTTGAGTCTTGTTGGGATGGTGTACTGAGCTAGTAGTGGCAGCTGGTGGGTCACTAAGCTAGCAGCACCTAAGGTTGAAGAGAGAACCTAACTTATGGACTAGCATTACCTTAATTATTGATTGCAACATGACATTCATGCTAGAATGCGGACGTGTTCTGATTTAAACAAAGTTAAAGCCACGTGCCATCAGAATATTCCACATTAAAATATGTATTTAATTAAAGACCAGCCAATGTGTGATGAGCAATTTTATCTCTGGAAAAAGCCTGAAAAGCCAAATGTCCACGTTTTCTATCTTATGGATCTCAGAGCAAGAGAATACTCCCAAAGCCACACGAGCATAATGTGATCTGTGCATGTGCACAACAATCTAAATTCATTTTAAAGAACTGCACACAGAAACCAGTTTTTACCCATTTCTAAATTGCCAAATAAGCATTTGTGGCTAGTTATATATGTCTAAGATATCAGATGTTTTCTGTGGTAACTGACATCCTGCTTTTGTTTTACAGATTTGCACCAGATTGGGTTCTCAGAAAGGACAAGCTCAAAGATATTGTGGACCCACTGAGGGCCATTCAAATGGTGGCAGACATACTGTCCATTGTGTTGTAAAGATAATCTTGATTCAACATCTCCACATTTTTCCTTCATAAAATGTTTTTTTTTTTACTTTTTACAGACACATTCCCATGTATATAATAAAAACGGATTTGTTTTTTTTATGGTCCAGTTTCATATAGCTTTCATGTTTTCCTTGTCTTTGACTAGACTGAGATTGGCAAAGTGAAACCAGATTAATTGATCTTTACATGTGAGTCAGAAGTTAAATTAGGGTCACATGCCTTGTTCATGTGTAAGTTCTTTAGTAGCACTACAAAAAATGTCAATGTTAATGTCAATTTGCTAACATGCTGTTTTTTTTTTTTATTATTATTTCATTTGGCCTCAACTGAGAGTTTTATAATGGCATTAACTCTGATTTAATCATAAAAAAATTGTTAAAGATGTCAGATTATAATTTTATAAAGGTCCTGACTAGAAGTAACACAAGCACAGGTTCAAACTTTTCTCTAAAGCAGCACTTTAAATCACTGGGTGCACTGTGTCATAATATGTGGTTACTCACAGTCCTCAAGTTGCATCATTCCCAGTCAATGAAAGCCCTTATTGGCATGAGAGCAGCAGCTCCACACCATAATCACACTTCCAAAGGATTCCCACTGTGCCAACAGGTCTTTCTTACACGTGAACTCAATCATTATGGGCTGAATACATCTTGGAGAACTTTGTTATGTGAATGCCATGTTGCCTCATGTCAATGTTATTCATGGTGCAGGGTTCTGCAAAATATAATGGACAAGTGTTTTGTTAGTGACATGTTCAAACATACACATCTACTGCCAGTATATAGACAACTTTTGCACAGTTTCCAATTTTAGAAGAGGTATTTCGATCCTTGACCTGAAGCAGCCATCATAAATGCAAAGTTACTGTGAATATTCTGGATCACACGTAGCTCTCATGCCATATTTTTTGGCCACAGCAGGCAGCTGTTTGCAGCAAACACAGAGATGAGTAAGTGAACATGGCAAAGCATTCAACTAATAAAGGGTCTATTTCCCTGGGTGTTGTTGGACACCAGAAATGGAGCTAAAAAGTGAATACTGGACTGTTGGATTCTGTTTCAAATGAATAATATTGCTGGATGTGTAAATATGCAACTGTTTGCTAACAACTTATAAAGTGATGATAACCTCTGTCAGTGTTGTGTTTACAGCTTGTTTCTATACAGTATAATCATTAAATCAGTTACTGCAGGTTTAAGCAACATATGTAAATTTTAAATGAAAAATATCTTCTACAAAATAAAATTAGGTCCTAAACTAAATATTTAAAGTAAGACAGCTCACTATCCAGGCAAAATGGCCTCTGTCTTTAACTGTATGGTAGATTATTGTATTCACATTCACATGTAAGTGGCATTTTAATGTAGCTGGCGCCAGAGGAGCTAATCTTTCCCATTATGTTGATAAAGTTGGTGGTTAATTCATTGGTCGATCTTGCATTGTATTTTATTTGCTCATTACAGATTATAAAATGTACAATATACAGGTACAATATGTAAAAATTCTCTGAAATGTAAATGGAAGTATAATGTAGCATAAAATTAAGCCAAAAGTAAATGTACTTGGTTATTTTGCACAACATATTTTCTTTGTTATACAAACCTTTCCAGGCCTAGTGTTTGCCATTATAAACTCACAACTGCATTAGAAATACACACCAGCAACATTTGTATATAGATCCACAGTAAAATCTGTTATTGAGCTGAATCTTTAGTAGTTTAATAACCTTTAGACTTTAATAAAGGGAATTAAAACTATCATACTGTATCCAGTGATCAAATCCATCCACTGGAAACCATTCTGAAATTATAATCTGAATTTTAACTATACAAACAATTTAAAAAATACATAAATGTGAGAATTTTAACTTACCAAGACATCGTCCTTTTCATTCACCATTGCAGGTTCTGAAAGGCTCCACGGTCTAGTGATTCCGACACATATCCAGCCAGTTCATTGTGGCGGCACTGACTTTTCATGGTGTCCTTGATGTGTCCATTGGTAAGAGATGATGGACCAACAGCCAGTCAGTCTACGCTCCAGCTCCCATCTATCGTCACGAGCTGTGAGATCAACCTTCTATAGGTCCCTGGGGCAAAATTTTGCTGTTGGGGCCATATCAACCCCCTTGCATATGTGGCAGTTTCATTATTTGACTAGGCACCCAGAAACAAAGAATATTCTAGAGCTGGAATAATTAGTTGCTAAATCAATTAATCGACAGAGAATCTTTCTTGGCAACTACTTTGATAAATGTCATTTTTAAAGCAAAAGTGTCAAGTTTTTAGTGGTGCCAGCCTCTTAGATGTGAATATTTGCTAGGTTCCCAGTTATGTACAAAAATTTCATGTTTTCATTGTTTCAAGATACAAGAACAGAAATCAAGACGAGTGCTCACCTCATCCACCCACCTCAGGGCTGCACCAGCATCACTGTCCTAGATGATCTTGGCAGCTCCATCTCTTCACCTTGAAGCTTCAGTGACTTATTCCAACAGTATCCTTCATATGTCTGGTTTATGACACTGTCATAACCCATACCTTGAAGGAAGGTTACAGGCAAACAATGTCATTTTCATTCTTATACTGAGGTAAATGAAGGACAGGAGACACCTAACTAGTTGTTCTTACTGTATGTACCTCTAGCATTAAAAAAGAGCTACAGATTCTCAGATTATCTGACAACATTATGTCTACCATCTTATATCAGAATATATCTTACATAAAACAGACCACTTACCTGGTGTTAAGGTTGAATCACACTTAATTATGAGAAAGGTTTGAAATAAGTTTGCATGTGAAAATGATGCAGCCCTGCGATGGACTCGCGACCTGTCCAGGGTGTACCCCGCCTTATAACCTGTCCCTGCATCTTGCTTCAGTCCCTGTGTGCCTCAAGTCCTCCATCATTGTGCCTGTGCCCAAGAAATCAGCTGTCACCATCCTCAATGATTACCACCCTGTTGCTCTGACACCAGTAATCATGAAGTGCTTTGAGAGGATCATTCTAAAGCACATCAAGGACGTCATCCCTGTTGGTCTGGACAGCCATCAGTTTGCCTACAGAGAGAACTGATCAACAGAGGATGCTGTCTCAATAGCACTACACACAGCCTTGTCCCACCTGGAGCATCCTAACACTTACGTATGTTAGGATGCTATTTGTTGACTTCAGTTTGGCATTTAATACTGTAATCCCAGAGAAACTGGCACTGAAACTGTACAATCTGGGAATGGCTGCAGTGATGTGACATTGGATTAAGGACTTCCTCACTAACAGGCCTCAAGTGGTGAGAATCGGAAGATGCACATCATCCACACTGGTCCTGAATGCAGGCACACCACAGGGCTGTGTGCTCAGCCCAGTTCTCTTCACTCTGTTTACTCATGACTGTTATGCCATTCACCCCACAAACACAGTAGTGAAGTTGGCAGACAACACCACCGTAGTGGGTCTCATCTCAGACAATGATGAGACTCACTACAGAGAGGAGATCCAGCACCTGACAAGGTGGTGTTCAGATAACAACCTTGTCCTGAACACCAACAAGACTAAGGAGGTCATTGTGGATAGGAGGTCCAGGAAGACAAAATATGCTCCTCTTCTCCTACACGGGGAGGTGGTGGAGCAAGTGGATAACATCAAGTTCCTGGGCATCCACATCACATCTGACCTGACCTGGTCTCTGAACACATCATATCTGGTGAAGAAAGCCCAGCAAAGGCTTTTCTTCCTCAGGAAGCTGAAACGCGCTGGTCTCTCCTCTCAGTTGCTCGCAAACTTCTACAGAGCGACAATAGAGAGCATCCTCTGTCTCAGTGTGACAGTGTGGTATGGGAGCTGCACTGTACAGGACAGAAAGGACTTGACCCGGGTGGTGAGAACAGCTCAGGGCATTGTAGGAAGTCCTCTTCTGGATCTGGACTCACTCTACGCTGACCAGATCCAGAGGAGGGCCAGTCGGGTTTCTGAAGACCCCACCCACCCAGGCAACAGTCTGTTTGTGCCTCTTCCCTCCAGGAAAAGGTACAGATACATAAAGACTCAAACAAACAGACTGAGAAACAGCTTCTTCCCCAGAGCTGTGAAATGAATCACCCCCCTAACCCCTAGTCACACACACAACCTCCCCCCTATGGACAGACACAGACAGAACACTGGACCTCTGCAGACACACACCCATGCTCACACCTCTTCCTAAAGACTGAGATTTACAATGAGCTACACCTTATAATGTTACTACACCTCTTGCTGCTAACATGCTGCTAACCTGATTAGGTCCCATACATCCCTTTTTATTTGTTCATATTTTTATATTGACATACACTTTTGTGTTATGTAAATAATGTGTCTTTTAAGCCAAGAGCTGGTGGAAAAAAATTCGTTGTGCTATGCATAATGACAATAAAGATTCTTGACCTTAACCAAATACAGGGACATAAATCAGATGTAGAACACAATGATTATATTATGAAACAATGAAAGACCCACCTCTTTTTAAAAGATTTAGGTCACAGTTTTGCGAAACACTGAGTGAGAGTATCAATATATATAATTTGCAATATTATTTTAATTGAGTGTTTAATTAGTTTCAGCAGAAACATTATTTTACTTTCACGTAATAAATTACTTTAAAAGAAAAATCTCAGTTTAGTTTTGTGCTCAAAAGTATGTTGACTTTTACTCTTGTAATATGGTAAAGTGGTAGAAAACGGAGAATGTGAATTTAAACTGGGGTAGAATAGTTACATAACTGGGGTACATAACCTGTCTATGGTGTGTAGGTAGGAGAATAACATCACCATTACACCTGGGGTCCAACGCCACTGCACCACCAGGTGCACACCTGGACTCAGTTTCATCATCATGAAGGTGAGATTGGAAAACAACATTATGTTTGTTAGTTATTATTACTCGTTCACATGCTTTCCGTACATTTTTCATAGTTTTTAAACTAATTTGTTGTTCAAATGTGATTACAGTTCCCGTACAAAAGGTGGAACAAAATGAACATTCAGTGTAATCTTGTTTGTTTAACCTTCAGGGTACGTAAATAAATAACTAACACACACACACACACACACACAAATCAATCCAGCAGATGATCTGCTGCTTTCTTTTGATATGATTCTCATATGGTTATAATCTGATTTATGGCTGGGTAGCTTGTGGATTTCCCACCAGGGATCAATAAAGTCTGATAATTATACTATTCTTTCATTAATCTGGTTCTGAAAGGTAACTAATAACCATGGTTATAAAATATCTGTAGTACAATAAAAAGGACGATATTTGCCTCTAAAATGTAGTGAAATCAAAGTATGAAGCAGCAAATGAAAATACTCGAGTACAGCACAGATAATTCAAAATTGTACTTAAGTACAGCACTTGAGTAAATTACTTAGTTACTTTCCACCAGTGCACCTCTGTTTCTAAAGCGCTTTGAGTGTGCATCAATGCGTAGAAAAGTGATATATGAGTTTAAGATCATTTACCATTCTCGTAATACACTGAAGCTGGAAACAGACTGAGCTTATATGATTTATTAAAACGACCACACACAGCACTGAAGAGCAGACACTGGATCAATACATGGCTCTTCATTCTGGTCAGTTACATGTTTGTCCAGTCAGATCAACGTTCATCATGTCCAGCTGATTAAAAACTGTTATTGGCAAGTGGGCAGCTGGATCTCACCGTCAATACAGGTCTGACGCATTGTTACTGTGCCGACAAGGGTTGTTCGTCCAGTACACATGAACTGAAATACATCATTATGGGATGAATACAGCTTTTTTTCACCAGAATATCTGAATGCAATATTACGTTGTCTCATGGCTTCATCAGTCACAGTGCAGGGTTCTGCAAGAGACAACAGATAAACAGCACTTTAATAATGTCAGAAATGACCAGGCATCATACACCATATATAGCCTAATTATTGCAGTTATATAATATTGCTATAAATATTTTATCAGTAACATTCCCCACAAAAAACGAAGTCTAAACCAAAAAACATCTGTGGCCATTTCCACCTGATAGCCTATAGCTGACCAGCTGTCTGTCTAACTGTGATGGTTTCACAGGCTGTTGCAGGTAAATGACACATTTCTATGACACAGTAACCTCTGAAAGGTAAAAGAGATGCTGAAACGTATGATTCTTGTCAACACTAATTTCACCTTACAGCCTTCTGGTTCTGCAAAAACAGTTGTTTTCCTTATTCTTTAGTGCTTGACCACGTTCGTAATGTAATATATACTGACTACAATTTGTAAGAGATCTGTACAAATCCAATTTCATGGAAACAGTCCGCAGGTGTTCACACGTCTTCTTTAGTACATGCACTGACAACCAAAATGAGTTTTACCTAAGTAACGCCATCATAGAATGAAATATGAAAAACATAAAGGAGACTGGAACTTACTCAGGCATCTCAAGTCTCCAGTCCAGTTGCCATTGTTACATGTTCTGTGAGGCCCGCCCTCCATGACGTACAACTGCTGACAGGTATATTCAACCCTTTCATTATGACTGTACTTGGATTTTAAAGATCCCTCTATGTCTGCATCTGCAAGAGGTGGAGGTCTCCCACAGCCCACAGGAGCTAAAATATTGTGAGCAATGACAGAAAGTAGAAATTTAGGTGTTACTGTGTGGAAGACATTATATCACATAGGGTAACAGGTCACTGACTCGGAACAACTGAATAAATTCTATAAAAGCTTTATGCCTTACAAAGGTACACACAATATGTTTATATACATTTATTCTGACTTCTTATTACCACATTTAGACCTGGGATTAATATATGCTGTTTATCTGGCTACATGACCCAGACAATCTGATCAGGGGACTCTGCAGTAATATTTGTCATTACTCGCTCGATTCAGCCCACATCGTGGGTGTCTTTAGTTATTGAAGTAAAGATGGTTTGTCAGTGAACATGCTGTGTTCCAGGTAAAAGGAAATGAAGCAGGATACTCCAGATGTATCAGGACACAGTGCAAAGTGAAGCTCATTTGTTTTTTAATACAGTGTCAGCCTTTCACCCTTGTCTGGCAAATCAGATATTTAGGCAAAAAGCAAATAAAACAAACAGTTTCACTTGGCTGAGGCGGATCACATTGAGCCAAACCACCATGAGATGTGGTCTGGTTGCAGAGCAAATCAAGCCCTCAGAGACTGAAGTGAAGTTTCTCTTTTACCATCGTTTTCTTACAGAAGAAGAAGAGAGAGGACAAAAAACAAAAACGAAAAACAATCTGACTTACGTCCACATGTTGGGAAATTACCACTCCACTGCCCATTTGGTAAACATTCAACCGTTGCAGTCCCATGAATAACATGTCTGAAATTGCTGCAAGCAAAGTTTAACTTCTGGCCTTTGCCCAGCAAATCCCCTGGGAAATGTCGTGGGGTGAAGAGTACACCTCCTTGAACTCTTGGAACTTTGCATTTTGCTGTTTTGAAGAAGAGAATCTGTTTAATCAAGAGGTTTATACAACAAAAACAGTAGCATTTTAGAAATGAGCTGACTTTTCTAGAACTGTTTAGCTGACTGTATAGACACTGGTGTTTATAATTCCCTGAAGAAACACACCCGCCTGTGATGTTAAAGTACTCAGAGGTTTGTCTTGGGAAGACTGAAGGGGTAACAATGTATAATGAGAACAGTGAGAATCCTGTCTGCCACAGCTATACTAAAAGTACTAGGTATCTACTCCTGCATGTTGCTACTTGTACTGTCATGTAATTGTTGCTTTTAAGTAATATTTGATGTTTTATCTTTGTGTGCATTTTGATGTTTTATCCATGTGCATAAACTTGCCTTGCCTTTTTTTAAACTTTGTATTTATATTACATAAACAGTGTGTAGATGGGAACTATTTGTCAGTACAGTTCCAATTTAAATAGTTTTTTTTATTATTAAAGAGTACCATCAATAATCTTTACATTAAAAATCACATTATTGTTTGTATATAAAAAATAAGTCTATAGTTATGGAACCACAGAATTTTCACTGAACTCTCCAGCCTGCCTCAGCTTTAAAGAGCTTTATAGCACCTTTAGTTGTAACCTGCAGTTTTGGTTCAAGTCTCATATCACTCTTTATTCGACTGCAGCTGTTTTCAGTAAAAATGCTCTAAAATCCCATAGTACACTACCTGCCCAACATTAAACAGCAGACAGAAAAACTAGCTATAGAGCTAAATATTCCCCTGTTGGTGGCAACCATAAACAGAGCTAAAACTGAGTACTGCATGTTCATTTGCCAGGTGGCAAGACACACAACTCCAAGTGACTGCTAATGTTGATTCATATCTGCTGCATGTTTAAATAGGCAACTCTTTGCAAAGTCCACCATATCAACTAATGGAAGGTTCACTATTGCTTAATACAATATACAGATTCCTGAGGGGAAAAGGCACATATGATAAAAATGCCTTTAATATTCATCTTAAATACAAGGAAAAACATATTAAAAGCAAATAGAATTTGGGATAAAATCAACTGAAATGGGATTATTTCCCAGTGAATGTGAACATACCATGGCAGGTTGGAAAGGGCGAACTCCATTGCCCATTTTGTAAACACTCAGTTTTCTGAGGCCCGTCGAGTGTGTACGCATAATCACAATAAAACAACAATTTAAGTCCAATTTTCGCAATGTTATTTGCTGGTGATAATCCATCTGCATGGAGATGTGGGTGCATCGCGCTAATGTTACATGTGACATCTGAAAAGAACAGAACACAGTGAAAAATTTCTTCAGTGGACAAGGGTTTATATGGTACCTTAACATGCATACAGTATTATTTATTAGCTTAAAGGATTTACCTACACAAGAGGGAAATGGATTATCCCACTGTCCATCTTTACCACATATCAGCCTTGAAGTGCTATTCAGACGTTTCCCAGGACCATCACAGCTGAAGTCGAGGAAGCGGTCAGGAAGTATAGGATCGTCTTCGTGGTCTGGTAAACCTTTTACTGTAACCCCTTCATCATTAGGTGGGTAGTCGCAGTTCAAAGCTGAATGAACAGCCAGTCAAGTTACTGAAAGAGGAAACTGCTTAACAAGGCAAGAATTACTAAATAGGCAGATTTTAACAGAGTTTGACAAAGAACAGAGTCTCAAAACAAACTGACACCAT